ACTACTGAAATGAATTCCAAGTTACATGTCCTTCTTCCCCTCCTTACCTATGTGGTCTGCATATTACCACTGTTTTGATCATCTGAAGACATCACTTTGATTCTTTCTTTAAAACTTCCATTGAGTGAGTTTCCATTGTCCTTTGAATAAATTACACACAACGCATGCCAGCAGTCAAATTTGCCACAGTACGGCTCCTACCTACAGTTAAAGCCTTTGTTCCAATGACTTCTCCATTGACATTCCACCTGTTGAAGAAACATTGTTTATGTGAGAGTAAAGATGTGGTGGAGATGGGAGAGTGAAAAGCACTTGGGGAAAGGAAGTTTTTGTTAACTTTTTAAATGATCTCTGGCATACAATGTCTGCGAGCTGGACAATTCAATTTCTACGTTATTGTAGACACACTGTATACGTGTGACTCATCCTCTAGACTAAGGATACTTTATAAATGGGCTCATATGATCTTTATGGCATGTAAGGAATGAAAATAATAAAGGATATTGCTCAAAGCTTCTGTCAAAATCTATAGCCTGTTATATTATGCATCCTCAGTAAATATTTGTTGAATTTAGAATAAAAAATTAATGAATGCATTCATGCATGAATGACAAGCTACTGTGGCAGGTGCTGTTGGTATCCTGCTTATATCCCCTTAGCACTCATTGCTACAGGACAAAGGCAAATGTCTGCAAATACCGCTAATACCAGCAACCATATACTTGAAGGCTTTTTCCCTCCTAGCTACAGGTGTGTGCTCAGCTACCCCCCAGAGCAAACTGAAGTGTCAGAGAGTTGATGAGTCTAGGAACTACCCTCAATCAATGATAGGATGTTGGTAGATACATTCCTTTAGTCAGAATAATTCTGAGAAGCGTTCTGCAACATCTCTCATATTTCCACATTGAGACTGAGTTCCAATTCCCACAGTGGTATCTTGCATGATAAAGTACCATTTACTGACCACCTCTCCTTCCTTGTCTCGCTTTCCCATCTCCCAGCAATGCTTTGTAGGATCACTTCTCAAAACGGAAAACAAAACAAAAATGAACAAAACCTCACAAAAAACCCAACCAAAACCCAAGCCAAAAGACCAAACCAAAGTGCGCGTGTGTGCGCGTGCACGCGCGCGCACACACACACACACACACACACACACACACACAAAACCAAAACCAAAACCCTATTTTCAATTGATTTCCTCTCTCAGAATCTGCTTTCAGGAGGAACACAAACACAAACTAAGCCCCCAAATGTGGAATTGCGCATTGAGTACGTAAGAAGAGTCCATAACATCTGGAAGTCATACAATTGGAGTTGAATAAAACAAACAAACAAACAAACAAACAAACTTTCAGGAATTAGAGGTCATTTTCTCTGTGGCAAAATTTCTTCCACACAAATTACTAATGGTTTTAACAAAAGATGTGTAAACTATCTTTGGAAACCCACTGTCAATTTATGAAGGAAAGGTGAGGGTTGTTCTCTGTTTTCAAGCTCTTTGGATAAAGAAAGAAATAAATCATTAAAACTGGGAAATATTCACTAATGGAATATTTAGTTATAAAATCACTCAACTCAGAAAATCCTTTCCCACTCAACACTTATGTCTTTCCCACTCATAATACCCTAGTAGCAAGTGTCAGAATATTTGGCCAAACTGTGTGAATAAAACCTAGCTCAGCTTTAATAGTGTGAGAAATAAGCCCACTGCTCCAATCGAAGGAGGGATGTGGGGACTCGGGGCACAGTAAAGCAAAGCTTTAATCAATGTTCTTACAAGAGCGGGTGTCTGATGGACAGACACACTCAGGGCAGTTACAGCAGACAATTTATCTCCTACTATGCAGGTCCCTCCCCTGATTCCTCATTGGCTGAGTACTACAGAGGTTACAGCCTTACCCAGACAATGCCTATGCCCATGTAAGGCAAAAAGTAGTCTGACTGGCACAGATGTACATTCCTTGAGGTGATGCAGAGACTTCAGTTCTTTAGCACATGCTCATTGCAAAGACTGCAAAAGTAACCTTGCCAAACCAAGAGGGAAAGAACCAGGAAGTGAAATGTCTAAGGATTTGGGACTCCATGGTGGGGGGGGGGGGTGTTGTACATTTTCCAATAGGTTGGAAATTAACCTATTGTTAATAGGTTAATAGGTTAATAGCTCCCAGCTGTCAGCACAGAGCCTGACGAGGGGCCATGAGATCATGACCTGAGCTCAAGTCAGATGCTTAACCAACTGAGCCACCCAGCTGGCCCTAGACAGCACAGCTTTTATTTGGTGCTTCTGAAAATGAATTGTCTCCCTGCCTTCTCACAAATAGAAAACCTGAAATCTTGCAAAAAAATAAAATACAGCATTCATGAAACCTCTGGAAGTGATGTTAGGAACTGCTAGAATAAATGCAAAGCTGTGGGGAACAAGGATCTAGCAGAGTTAGACAAGACAATAACTGAAGAAGAGAAAATGGACAGTTAATGACCATGATAGGAACTTTCCAATGGTGATCTGTAAGTCAATGGAATAGGGAAAGCACTTGGGAAAAATTAGTGAGGCTTTTAAATATGTTTGCAAAATATGCTTTTTTTTATCCATCTGTGAAAGTCAAGTGTGAGTCATGGATGTAATATTGTGTTAGGATATGTATATATGTGTGTGTGTGTGTGTGTGTGTGTGTGTGTGTGTGTGTTGTTGTTGTTGTTGTTGTTGTTTGTTTTGTTTTCCTTTCTTTTTGTTGGGGGAGGTGTGGAAATTCTACTCCAGAATGTTCCATTTACCTCCTGAGTGACAGAACTGCATTTAAATCCTATCATCTCAAAGTTTGGTGTACAACACACTTTAAGAGAATCATGAAAACATCTATTTCATTTAGAAGATTGAAACAGGAAGGAGGCTTATCCTTTGCCTTGTACAGGGTCTCCTTTGGTTGAAAATCACTTAAACATTGAACTGAGAACATTTGTTGCCTTTCTTGATTTACAGATGTTTTCTTAGAACTACATTGCCAAACAGTCCCAGCTGGCTGTAGCTAAGGCCTGTGTAAATTGATAAGAAGCATCTGGCTTCAAGACACCAACTAAGTACAGGGGCAGGCTCTTTGTGTCCCCAGAGAATCTGGTTGGGGTAGGAACTAAGTCTCAGAACCACTTGCTGTGTTTGTGAGTGAGTGCCAAGTTAATCCCCAGCAGGAAGAGACAGGGACAGAGCCCACTGCTGGGCTCTTCCCACTGTTGAAAATTCACCAGGCGCTCAGTGGAAATTTTCTTCCTTTCTTCTGCCCTGAGTGTTTTCCCTAACATGAAGGTAAGATAATAATTTCATTACTTTTGTAAGTGAAGCAATCTCAAAAGGGAGTGAGGCTTAACTGAAATGGCTCAAATAAGGAGACGACATGGGGAAATAGGAAAGAGAAAGATATGGGGATAACTTAAAAAAATCCTTATTTAAATATATTTAACAATTCAGACAAAGTGAATTCCTTTTTCTTGTTTTGCAGTAAAATTAGTGGTTCGAAGGTATGGAAATGAGAGTGGAGACTATGTTTATGAAAGTCCTGACTGAGCCATCAAGGAATATAATAGTGCCATTGTTATTTTTAGGGAAAAATACCCTGTCGTGTATTTTGTTTGTTTGTTTGATTTGCAGCTATTCAATGAGTCCCCATGATCTGACTTATCTAAGAGCTTTATAGAAAAGTGAGTTCAGAAACTTGGAACTTTAGAATTTGGAATCCTGGACCAAAGGGTCAAGAATGTGAGAGTGGAAGACACAGAGAGAAGAATGCAATGAAAGGCTTACCAAATGTACATGTTGGCCCAGTGCAATGTAGCCAAATGTTAGAAAAATTACTATTCAACTAAATACAGGACCAAAGACAGTAACTTCAACTCCAACTTATTTATTTTTTAAATGTTTTACTTATTTTTGAGAGACAGAGACAGAGAGAGAGCACACAAGCAGGGGAGGGGCAGAGAGAGACAGGGACAGAGGACCTAAACAGGCACTGCCCTGACAGCAGCGAGCCCATGTGGGGCTTGAACTCATGAACCATGAGACCATGACCCGAGCTGAAGTTGGCCACTCAACCCACTGAGTCACACAGGTGCCCCAATTTTTGTATCATTTTTAAAAAGTTTTTTAAACGTTTATTTATTTTTGAGAAAGACAGAGTGCAAACAGTGGAGGGGCAGAGAGGGAGGGAGACAGAATTTGAAGCAGCTCCAGGCTCTGAGCTGTCAGCACAGAGCCCAACACGGGGCTCGAACCCATGAACTGTGAGGTCGTGACTTGAGCCCAAGTCAGTTGCTTAACCAACTGAGTCACCCAGGTGCCCCAAGTATCATTTATTATTACTTTATGATTGTTCTATCTTGTCCATTTGTTAAGATACTCTTTCTGAAGGTGGGAAATGATAACTTGATGACTTGTTTTCAGGGACTTAGCTAGCAAATTCAAGAAATTCTTTTGGTTAATAGATTCAGCTTGTGTAACTCATGAACAGAACTGCCTTGTAATTAGGCAGATCTTCAGAAGTTACAATAAGGAGTATGTATATGGGGAAGGTGTTGGCAAAGGCACTGCTGAAAAAAATGTATATTCCCTAAAGCTTGATTGAAATTCTTTTAAAACACGTGTAATAATAGACTGTTAAGAATGAATTTTTTCATGATGCCTGCTTTGGCTGAGAGTCAAAGGCCAAGAAGAATAAGTGGTCAGCATCCCCACATTTTAAAGTGAGATAGATACTGGACATTCAAAGCAGTTTTACAAAAGGATAGTGTCTAGTGACCTTTGGCTATCCCCATCCTCCGGAATATATAGGATCGTGCCCCTTAGAGTATAGGGGATGTAGAAAATCATACTCTAGTCATGTCTGGGAAAATCTAAAGGCACAGGCTGGTTCCCTAGCCTGCCTTTAACAGAGTTAATCAACACAGCATTATTGGTTACATTCTGGACATCCAGAGTCTGACAGGATAAGGATGTGTGCAGGTATCGCATGGACACAATGTGGACCTTTAGAAAGGAGCCAGACTTGGGTTGTCAGGGCTTCTGCCTGAGAAACTGCCTGCAGGATGAAGCAACTCCAACAGGCAGCATACATATGGAAAAGGAGTCCCAGGAGGCAAGCACTGGGGAGAGTCAAGTGTGATAAACAAAGAGATGAATCATTTTTGCCAAGAGCATAGTGGTTGTAGATCACCAATGGGGGCCATCCAAAGAACCACAAAAACACAGTGGGAGATAAAGACTTGGCATTCAAATATTCACCACATCCTGGGTCACCATTATGGACTCCAGCTGGATTAGTCACACAAGACCCTTTTTGGCTCTTGTCCCTCTCCTGCTGCTGTGACTTTGAAGAAGACAGAGGCAGTCTGGGGATGTGGGGAAGAAAAGCAGAACAAGGAGGAGGAATTTGGAATCAGACTCCACCCCACTCCCATTATGAGCATCCAGGACCCAGGAGTAGGAGAGACACTTAAAATTGGATATTGAATTGAAATTTGACTGTTAGAGTGTTTCAGAATCTTTGTTTTCCAAAAATGTGACTGTTAGTGCCTATGAGTGACTAATAAAGCTATGGAGATAGGCTTTCCCAGGGACTGAAGAAGAAGTTGACAGCATGGAGTAAAGATATATTGTTGAAAAACAGAAAAATTAACCCAAACCCTTGTAGGTTTTTTTTTAATTGTTTTTAATCCTTGTAATTTTTAATTAAAAACAAAACCTGTAGAAGGTGTTGCTTTATGTTATGTGCTTTACCTGCTCATTAAAAAAATCACATAAGTATTCATACCTCCCCCCACTCATTTCCAGGATGCCCATAGCTGTTTGGTTATGCTAATCAGAATAATAGGCTAAAAGCTTCTGAGAACAATAAAAGACAGAAGTGGGCAACTGGGACTTTACAACTGAAAGGAAGATACCTAATAAGATGGCAGGTGATCTAGGAAGGCAGGGAGAAGGATCTGGAAAAAATGTTGGGAGGCCACTCCACAAATACATGGAAAGAAAAGGTTTGAGGAGGTCAGGGAGAAGAGAAAGAATATTGGCCTGTTAAAATATGGAGTAAGATGGTTTTAAGGACTTTTACACTGGGTTATATATTGAATACAATTGATATCCTTGGAGAATCTCCAGGAAAGATTTGAATGATATTCCCAGACACCCTCAGTTGTCAAAGTAGGGAAATACATAAAAGTAAAAAAAAGTTAATAGAAATTACCTATAATTTCATTACCAGAAATGAACTATTATCCTTTATTATATTTCTTTCTAGATTTGTTTTTAATACATGTTTGACTTTTCAAACAAAATGTAATCCCGTTTTATATACAATTCTGTGACCTTCAATATTTAGGCTGGTGCTGTCATGGACAGATGATTGCAACAGGCCTCACAGGTGTTTTAAAAACCAGAGGAGCTGCCCATAGAACTAACGGGCAGGGTGAGGATCCTGGGCCCTCTGGCTGGGGATGTGCCTCAACTTTTGGTTGACTCTTCATTTATGAAACTTACTTCCCTTCTAACTTCTCACTCTTGGCTGGTCTTTCTTCCAGGCTTCATCCTCTTTGGGTGTCTTCATATGTGTTGAAGTTAGAGTGAAGAAGGGTAGAGAAAGGAATGAAAAGATGATGGGTCCTTAAAAAAATGCTCTAATGAGCTACATTTTCTATTTGCTTGGCTATGACATTCCTCAGTCCCTAGCCTTCTTTACAGAAATGAATAGTAAGAGGTGAGCTCAACAGAATTGTATTAAACTTTTATTTAAAATGGAAACTTAAAGGACAAACAGAGTCAGGGAGACTTCTCCATGTTTCTTTCCTTCTTTATATTCACAACTCACAAATCTTGACTTGCACAAATGTATTCATTTTCAACTCATTAAAGAAATATAAACTAAAGCAATGCTTTATTCTCCCCCCAGGCAATAAGTTTTTTCATCTTGGTGGGATTTGCAGGAGAGTTCCAAATTTTTTCAAGGTGAGAATGTTTTGGATTGTATTGGAGATCATTAAAAATTATTATTATTTTTTTTATTTTTAGGAAGTTCTTTATCATACGGCCTGATTTTAACATTGCAGCCTGAACGTCTTTTTCCCTTCAACACTTATCTTTCTGCGTTTTGAGAAAAGGCAATGATAGCAAAAGCTTGTTTTATTCTCATTCTTATTTTACTTTATTTTATTTCCCATAAGGAAGAAATTTGAAGACTAAAACTACTTCAAAGTTTTCTTCTTGTCCCAGTACCATGATTGTACCTGCAATTCAGAGAATTGCACCGACCTTAGAATTAACACATCTTGGAGTAGAATGTGATCTTTAAATGTAGTCATTGCAAAACATTCTTTGGATTTTAAAGGTTGAGAGTTTTTTTTTTCTTAATTGAAATACAGTTGATACACAATGTTATGTTAACTTCAGGTGTACAACATAGTAATTTGACAAGTCTATACATTATGCTGTGTTCCCCACAAGGGTAACTTCCTTCTGGTTGAGAGTTTTTTTTTTTTTAAGAAAATAGGTGTGCTGACTCTTGAGACCTGGAAAAAAGCCACCATCATTTACTCATGGCTTTCTCTTGCTTTCACTGTCAGTTTGATGGGATAGGACCAGGTCAGTTCATGTTTTCAAACTATCAGAATATGTGTCAGGGGCTGTGCCAGTGACTGGGGACACAAAGGGGGCCAAGTGTCTGAGAGTCCACTGGGTGATACAGATCTTGAAACAGTTGATGTCAATATAAATGTGCTAGGCCTCTGGGAGAGGGCTGCATGGGATACTGTGGGAGCACAGAGAGACGAGACCAAGCTGGCTTCCCTTCCTAAACCTCAGTGTTTGGGGAAGGTCTCTGCCTGTCCCTGGGGCACAACATAGAACAATAGCAAGTTCCGATTGTTTAAGGGTCAAAAACAGTGAGGCATTTGGATCATTGGCACCATGTCAAGACTACAAGTTAGCAAGTTTGGCTTGAAAAAAAGCATGAGAGGCACATGCACTTCAGATCAAACTTCTTACTTTCAGGATCACCTCACAGGCTTAAGATAAGCACAAATCACCTTGACTGAAGGTGTCCCAAGGCTAGGAATCTGCTCAAAATCCAGAAATCAGGATTCTGATTTCCTTTACCCCTTGTAAAATATGCTTTAAGTTAGACTTCCTTAATCGCTGAGGATGAAGTCATGATATGCTCTCTACAAAGCTGGAGTTAAGCATCACACAACAGATTCTCCATTCTTCATGTATTTTAGTGGAGTGGAATTGTTTAAGCTCAAATGGACGCTACTTGGATGTGTTCTTGAGTAGTAGCCTAAATGCACAGGGAGAATATTTAAAAATCAATTTCTGTCCATTTCATCTTTGCCAGTTCTTAGTTTTTCTCTTCTGATAGGGTCTTTTTAGAGCCTTTTGTCTTCCACTTAAGAGTTTCTGTTATAACTCTTCAGTTCATTATTCAGAATCCTTTCAAAGACCGTATACCTTCCTCCTACAAGTTCTCACTTACCCTTCCAACTGTGAACACTCCTTTATCTATATTTCCATAACACATTATACTGTATACATTTTTGTTATGAAATTGATCAAAGTAGGTACATTGCATTATGGATCATGTTTGTATTATTATATTATAATTATTTGTTTACATATGTGTCTTTGTCCTCTTCTCTATCAATGGTCAGTGATCTCTCTGTTATTGTGTCTACAACTTTAGTATCTAAATAGTGCCTGGTACATTATAGATGCTTGATAAGCATTAATCTTGAGAAAAGTTGGTTCCTTCCACGTGTATTTTTATAGATCTTGGGATACTTTTGATGTCTCTTAAAAAATTGTAAAGCAATTATTTTTTTTGAAATATTTTTGACTATTCTTTGTGCCCCCTCTCCCCCATTATCTTTCTACCTGATTTATCATAATTTGGCAGTGCTTCCTCTCCAGTCAATTGCCAGTGGGATTCCTATGCCCTGTGGTCAGAATGCAGTGGTTGTACCAAGACTCAGGTAGGACCATACAAAACTTTGTATTTATTGTTTCCTATGCAGAAATAGCTTACATATGGACAAAATGACATGAGCTTTTGAATGTTATTTTTTATGTTGAAAATATAATTGGTACTTTTAAAGGGAGAAAAGTATGACTCTAGTGATTAATAATGTAATAAAGTAATTTCTGCGTTTCCTATTTTTCTTGCAGGACTTTTCTAAATCTTACATTTGAGCCTAGAAATATACACAGGGTATAGCAATTCACTAACTCTTTAACTAGAGAACTCTTTAATTAGAGGAATAGAGTAGCATGAAATGAAGATAGTAGGTAATTCAAAATCTGTTTCATATTTACTGGGTTCAACTTTTCTTCTTATTTGAAAGGAACGCTAACGAGTAGCAAAACTTTGTTTTACCTAATGAGCTGAATGATCATGAAAAATGAAACATTTGCACCTTTTAAAAAAAGATTTTATATTTAAATAATCTCTACACCCAAGGTGGAGCTCGAACCCACAACCCCAAGATTAAGAATCACCTGTTCTACTGACTGAGCCAGGCAGGTGTCCCTGTATTTTTAAACTTTTTAAACTTTAATTTCTGAGTAATACAAATAAAATACTGGACTTGATCTGGAGATTATAAAGCACTTCTAAAAGTGTTTTTTTTCCCTTATAAGTTATTCATTGGAGGAAACAGGAAGGTCTAAATAAAGAAAACACTATTTACAATTTTACCATTTAAAAGAAACCAGGGGTGTCTGGATGGCTCAGTTGGTTAAGCGTCTGACTCCTAATCTCAGCTCAGGTTATGATCTCAGGGTCCTGAGTTCAAGTCCTGCATTGGGCTCCACACTGGGTATGAAGCCCACTTGAAAAAAAAAAAAAGCATGAGATTTTAGAGGTGCCTGGGTTGCTCAGTTGGTTAAGTGTCCGACTTCAGCTCAGGTCATGATCTCACAGTTCGTGAGTTTGAACCCCGCAATGGGCACACGTCTGTGCTGACAGCTCAGGACCTGCAGCCTGCTTCACATTCTGTGTGTGTCTCTCTCTCTGCTCCTCCCCCACTTATACTCTCTCTCTCTCTCTTTTTTTTTTCTCTCTCTCTCTCTCAAAAATGAATAGACATTAAGAAAAATTTTTTAAAAGAAACCAATATACCATCATTTTGGTATTTATTCTTTCAATTTATCTTCTTTCTCTATGTTTATAATTTTTAAAAATACAATTGTTTGATTAAAGTTTTATATTCTACTATTTAAAAATTTTTGTTTGTTTGTTTATTAAAACTTTTAGAGAGAGAGAGCACAAGCTGGGTAGAGACAGAGGGAGAGAGAGAATCTTACACAGGTTCCATGCTCAGTACCGAACCCAATGTGGGGCTCAATCCTACGAGCCTGGGATCATGACCTGAGCCGAAATCAGGAGTAGGATGCTCAACCGACTGAACATGTAGACACCCCTTTATTGGTTTATTAAAAAAATTGCTTTTATTGTAAACTCCATGCCACACGTGGGGCTCAAACTCATGACCCCGAGATTAAGAGTCATATGCTCCACAGACTAAGCCAGCCAGGTACCCCTATATTCTACTATATTACCATGATACTCTCAGCGTGAATTTTAACAGCTGTATTATTTGCCGTTATATGAATATACCCATCTTATATATCCACTTTCATATTGTTTGAGATTTAGATTATCTACATTTTTGTTTGAGTGAAACTTGAGTGAATGTTTTTGTACATAGAAATCTGTCCTCTTTTCTGATAATTTTCTTAGGACAACTTCCACAAATATAATGTTCATGTTAAAGATTCTAAATATTTGAATGAATAAGTGTTTTTATTGAGATATACTTAACACATAATATTTATATTAGTTTCAGGTCTATAGCATGATTCTATAGTTGCAAAATATTTTAAAGGTGGTTCAGCTTGAATAAAAATGTGTATTTAAAAATCACTTTTTGGGGCGCCTGGGTGGCGCAGTCGGTTAAGCGTCCGACTTCAGCCAGGTCACGATCTCACGATCTCATGGTCCGTGAGTTCGAGCCCCGCGTCAGGCTCTGGGCTGATGGCTCGGAGCCTGGAGCCTGTTTCCGATTCTGTGTCTCCCTCTCTCTCTGCCCCTCCCCCGTTCATGCTCTGTCTCTGTCTGTCCCATAAATAAATAAAAACGTTGAAAAAAAAATTAAAAAAAAATAAAAAATAAAAAATAAAAATCACTTTTTAATTCTTAAAATAACAGAACTGTATTACAGGAGATAATTTCTGTTTTATTTTTTTTATTTTATCAAAACAATTTTTTTAGATGTTTATTTTTGAGAGAGAGAGAGACAGAGCGCAAGCAGGGGAGGGGCAGAGAGAGGGAGACACAGAATCTGAAGCAGGCTCCAGGCTCCGAGCTGTCAGCACAGAGCCTGAGGAGGGGATCGAACCCACAAATTGTGACATCATGACCTGAGCTGAAGTTGGATGCTTAACCGACTGAGCCACCCAGGCGCCCTGATAATTTCTGTTTTGAAGCATCATCATAATCATCATTTTCATCAAACATTTAGTACCTACATGAGTGGTATTTACAAAACCAGTTACTCGAATGTGGAATTTGGCTTTGGGCAAGTAGATGAGTACTCTGAATACAGACAGGCAAATGGGTCCATGAATAACAAGGCAAAAAATCAAATACCGACCACAGAAAACATTTTTATAATTTAAAAACAAGCTAAGAAAGAACACTAAATAGAAAGGGATGAGAGGTATTTTTCATATTAGTAATTTTTTTTCTTTGCATGAAGGTCATCATGCAATGATTACATCCCTAGATGGTAACGACAACATTTTCATCCACAGAGAGACAAGTGAAAATGGAAACGGGGTCATAAGATCAGAAGTTGTCAGGTGAGAATATGGCTGCTCACAGTGGGCAGCTGTCGAGGTCATACTGGTATGTGGAGAGAGGGAAGCATTACTTAGATGAACAACACAATCTGTGCTTTGGAACTTCAGAAAAGGACAATTTAATAAGACATTATGAGAGGCGTCTTCATCAATCAAATACAGAAACTAGAAATTTATGAAGGAACTGCACTGAGTTCTATTCCCCTCTCATATTCCTCCATGGCTCCTCTGCTCAGATACAATGGAAGGTGCCAGCACCAGGCCCAGGTTGACACACAGCTGCTCAGAGATCAAACTGCATTACCGTGACCCTTTGTCCCAATGAGTCCCCACTTCTAACCCAGTTTAGGATGGATGAGGAGATTCAACGTTGGTTTGTGATGAGGGATAGAAGCAAAAATGTGTTCGCATTTAGCCCAGAAGGCTGACCTATAGCTGCGTAGTTCCGATAAGTATCAAATATGTACTGGTTGCTGCATTCTTAGAGTCTCATGACTGTTCATCTCACTTGTTAATATCAAGCTGAATGATAAGCATCGGAGAAATCCTGTGAAACTACTTTTAAGAGTAGAAATTTGAAAAAGACATTTATGATCTAATATTCCCTGCACGTCCTCTCCCCTTTGAGCACTTAGTATAATAACCACCATCTTCACCCAGTAAAAGTGCAGCTCTTTCTCCCCACGGGCCCTGTCCCCGTGCTATAATAAAAGCTCCTTTTTGCACCAAAAATGTCTCAAGAATTCTTTCTTTCTTTCTTTTTTTTTTTTTACTTTTTACTTTTTACTTTTTTCTTTTTCCTTTTTAATTTTTTTAATTTTTAATTTCTTTTTTATTTTGTTTTTTTTTTTAATTTACATCCAAATTAGCATATAGTGCAACAATGATTTCAGAAGTAGATTCCTTAGTGCCCCTTACCCATTTAGCCCATCCCCCCTCCCACAAGCCCTCCCGTAGCCCTCAGTTTGTTCTCCATATTTATGAGTCTCTTCTGTTTTTTCCCCCTCCCTGTTTTTATATTATTTTTGTTTCCCTTCCCTTATGCTCATCTGTTTTGTCTCTTAAAGTCCTCATATGAGTGAAGTCATATGATTTTTGTCTTTCTCCGAGTGACTAATTTCACTTAGCATAATACCCTCTAGTTCCATCCATGTAGTTGCTCAAGAATTCTTTCTTGACCGTTCTCTTCTGACCCCACATCAGTTTGTAGATCCAGTCTTCCCTGTTGATCTTTGCTCAAGGTTTAAATTCTCTGGAATGTCAGATTCTATTTTTTTTTTTTTAATGGGGAAAAGATGAGTACAGGAAGAGGCTTAAGTGATGCATCTTTGATTGCTTTTGGGCAGGAAAAGGATTTTGTGGACCTTTCTTTTTGTTTAAGTGTTAGATATATGTGTTCACATTGATAAAATGAACTTTAGGATGACTTAGGTGTTTCTCGGTTGGCTTGATGATTTCCTCAATTTTCCCATACTTTCTCTCCCAGAGATTTGCCTTTGACATATTTCCCACTTCCGAGGCCAGTGATTTTTATTATCTAGTAAAATTCCGTTGCAGAGGTAGCTTCACCTTTGGATGACCGAGGTTTCTGTGCTGTAAATTTGACTTCCATATTAGCATCTTTCTCTCCAGATTTATTTTGCATTGCCTTCCTGAAGAAGGCTTAACATTCAGCTCAAATCAATTGCCACCATTTTTCTAAAGTTTTTTTTCCTTTTTTTTTAAGAGTTATTTTTTATTTATTTATTTATTTTTTTGAGAGAGAATGAGAGTGCACCTGGGTATACACGAGCCAGGGAGGGGCAGAGGGAGAGACAAAGAGAATCTCAAGTAGACTCCTTGCCCAGTACAGAGCACCACATGGGGCTCAGTCTCACGACTCTGAGATCATGACCTGAGCCCAAATCAAGAGTCGGCCACTGAGCCCACTGATCCACCCAGGTACCCCTCTAAAGGTTTTTCTAACTTTACTTCTTAACCATTGTTCCCAGTATCCTTCCCGCCCTCTGACAAAATCCATTTCTCCTTTCTAGTTGGCACACAGCTTGAGCAGAAACATTAAACGTTCTATATCGTAACCTATTTGCTTATATGTCTACCCAGCTAACTTTTTCAAGTTGCTTTTTTTAAGAGCCACTGTTTTTATTACTATTATTTTTTTAATACTCAACTCTGAGAATAAATACATAGCTGGGAGAACGTCACAAATAATCAAGTGTCACTTGTCACCCACTCCAGGACAAGTAGGTCTGTGGGTTCATTGATTTGGGAGGTTTTACATCTGTGGAACACCAGAACAATTTCCTGAACCCTGTTTCTTCAATTGCATTAATTTCTCTCAGATTTGTTTCTCCGATAAAGGAAAGGAGATATCAGAAAGTACTACCTGTTCTGTGTTTAGACTCGCAGGCGGTCAATAGCTGTTTACGGGCAGTATGGTGGCCATCCCTGTGTCGGAAATGCATTTGAAACACAATCGTGTGAACCTACCCGAGGATGTCCAACAGAAGAGGGATGTGGAGAGCGTTTCAGGTGTTTTTCAGGTATGTTTTCATAGGCTTGGCAGGCAGGGTGTAATTTCAAATGCTATTTGGTTAACTTGCTCAGTATGTGTTTGTTGACTTTTACTGAATGTGTATCGGCCTTAAAATTAATTTCAGGCCAATATCAGTAGGATTTTTATTGGCATATTAATTACATACTCAGTTATCATTATTTAGAATGCAAGAGGAGGCATCCGGTAAGAAAGGTAAGGATACTGCTCACTTCTTTGAAAAGAAATATGGCTGTTGCCAGACCCAAACAGTTCTTGACATTGCATTGTTGGTGGAGATGTAGAGTGAGTCCGGTACACCGAGATTAGGCAAAAACAATGTTACTGCCCAAATTATCATTATGTTTACAAGAGAAGCAACTCTAATTAACTAATCAAGGAGTAATACAGGTCACTCCTATACACTGGGTGATTGAAACACAATTTCAAGTTTTGGCATTGAGTATTATTTGACCTAGTGTTTATGTATCATTTGTGCAGTGAAGTTAATTCAACAACGTTTACCAAATATTCATTATTGTTACTATGTTCCAGATACAGTGGTAAGGATTGTGGATATACAAATGAAATGCTTAGTCTCTTCCCTGAAAAATATTAAAGTTTATGCACAGAATAGTTCATAATTAATCTCCGTGTTAGAAGTGCTCCTCAACAAGACCTGTCAAATTCCTATTTTACTTTCAAAACCCAGATCAGGTGACTCCTCTTTTCAGAAGCATTCCTTAACTTCCCAATTGATAGAGATAATTAACAAATCACTTCTCTGTGTTCCTACATACATTGTACTATCTGTAATCTGGAGAATTTACTGGCCTCGTTATCTCTCTTGGAGACAGTGAACTCCTTGAGGATATGGATTATATTGCTTTAATTTTTTAATGTTTATTTATTTTTGAGAAAGAGAGAGACAGACAGAGTGTGAGCAGGGAGGGGCTGAGAGAGGGGGAAACACGGAATCCGAAGCAGGCTCCAGGCTCCGAGCTGTCAGCACAGAGCCTGACGTGGGGCTCAAACTCACAAACCACCAGATATGACCTGAGCCGAAGTCAGATGCGTAACTGACTGAGCCACCCAGGTGCCCCTGTTGCTTTAATTTTTGCATCTGGAATACTTGGTACATAGTAGACTGTCCACAACACTGGATCGGATTGAGTGAGAGCATAGTGGGATGCATGCTATACCGTCAGGACAGTTGCATGCAATGCACACTATGAAGACACAGAGGAAGGACATGCACTATAGCCTGTGGAGGAGGGATGGTCTCTAAGAGGAGATGATGTTGAATTTGGTTCTTGAAGGGCAGGTTGGTGACAGGTAGAGAAACCCTTCTAGTCTGAGGGAACCATAAGTGCAAGGTCAGTGGAGATGACAGAAGCCTGGCCTTTTATTCATGCAGGTGTGACTGTCGCATCAGAAGCTGGTAGGAGGATGGCTGGAGATGATGCTGGGGAGGTAGGCAAGGGTTAGATCATCTGATACCCTCCAGTGCTTCCTTGATTCCTGGGATGTATGTCTATCATAGCAATTACGTTGCTGAATTATAATGATCTATGTCTTCATAGTCCTTTCTATTAGCTTGTAAAGTATATGAAAAGCCCAGCATACCATTTTTATTTATATTTGTACCTAACACCTGGAAGAGTGTCTTGCACAGAGTATATGCTAAAGATGTGATGAGTGTTAACCTTTTGATCCAGTTTCTATGCTCTCAAAAGCTTACACATCAAATCACCAAAAGAAGCAGAGCTTTGACATCTTGGTCAGTGATGGCAAAAAATAAACTGAAAGTTGAAGGGCAGGATGTCAATCTATCTTCCCAGTGGTCGGCACTGTTTGATTCTGGAAGATTCAGACAAACTGCTTGGTTATGGGTGAGAGCCTGGAATTTGAATTCAGCTTCTATTTTCAATTTTGTGTCCAGCTGAGGTCAGAATCAGTTTTGTGTACTGTAATATGAGGACCCAAATAATCACCAGTCTTTTCCTAGACATCTTGAGGACTGATCTCAAATTCACATTAGAATATTAGTACAATTTTGGGAATCAAAGGCAAAACCCTTTTGATCCCAGGTAGTTTTTCCCTTCTTCCCTCTTTTATTTATTTATTTATTTATTTATTTATTTATTTATTTATTTATTTATTCATTCATTCATTCATTCATTCATTCATTCATTTATTTATGGGGCTTATCTTGTGTACAGGCCAGTGCATCAGCAAATCTTTGGTTTGCAATGGGGATTCTGACTGTGAAGAGGATAGCGCTGATGAAGACAGATGTGAGGACTTAGAAAGCAGACCTTCGTGTGACCTTGATAAACCTCCTCCCAACATAGAACTTACTGGAAATGGGTAAGGTGCTGGCCAGTTTTCTGTGCACATTGATGGATAGTAGCTTTTCATTTTGTTTTGTTTTATTTTATGGTTTGGTAAGTCTGATAACAAATCACCTAATAGCTCAGCCTTTGGCTCAGAGCTCTTTGCCACATCCTGAAACATTTTTTCATTCATACCTGTATACTTGAAAATGTATGTGGTAAATGCAGAGTGTCCAATTGTCCCTTGACTGTCCTGCTTTTAGCCCTGGAGGTCCTATGTCCAGGGACACCCCTCAGACCTGGGGAAACCTGGATAGTTGGTTACCCTATGGGAGAGAGGTAGAAATAGAGAGAGACAGAGGGAGAGAATTGATTCAATGACAGTGATGTGAGGCTCCTTATGAGAATGAAGAGACAATAGAGTAAGAACAGAGAAAGAAGAGAGAAAGTAACGTATTGGAATATTGAGGCTTGAAACATAATTGTCTGAACGGGCTGGGAACTTTCATTTCAAGTGAAGTGAAGACAATCCCATGTTTGTCTTTCCAAAAAGAATTCTGAGGAATTTTGAGGGTCAGATCCAAGTTGAAGATTTCAAGACTTTAAAACAGTCTATTTTAGAGTGATAGAAGTGGCTTTCCTGTCATAGTTTAAAATTCATTAACAGAAAAATGGTAAAATTACTCTAAAGAGTATACCATTCAGTATACTAAGAGGCAAATTAGTTGAAATTTGTTGTAGAAAGTTCTTTCTCCTCAACAGTCATCTTAATTGTATTGGTTTTATTTATAGATTCAACTCAAAACCAGCTGTTGCCATAAATACAAAAGGGCTATGTTTTCCAAACATGTTCTTAGGCTGAAGGATGTTGGATTTCTCCAGTTATTAGTTTTAGCTATTATAGCACCCAGGGGAGGTTGGATAATATATGGTATGCATTAGGACATTGTTCTTTTTATTTGAGCTCTCTCAAAGAGATACTTCACTATATTTAAAAAATTTCTGGAAGTTCTTTTTCAGAAACTGCTATTTCTGATTTCTAACCATCTTTTCTTCCTTCCTTCCTTCCTTCCTTCCTTTTTTTTCTTTTTTAAACAGTTACAACGAACTCACTGGCCAGTTTAGGAACAAAGTCATTAACACTAAAAGTTTTGGTGGTCAATGCAGAAAGGTGTTTAGTGGGGATGGAAGAGATTTTTATAGACTGAGTGGAAATATCCTCTCCTATACATTCCAGGTACTTAATTTCATTGATTTAATTTATTTTTAATCTGTGAATTATTGCCAGAGGTCATTATTTATGTGATATTGATGTTTTGGTATTTGTTGAGAATTTATTTGTGGCCTAATATTTGATCAATTCTTATAAATGATTTATATGGGCTTAGAAAGAACACATATTCTTTAACTCTGGGGTACGGGGAAATGATACTTTAATTTGTCTCATTTAAGCTGAAATATTCTTTTGCCTCATTTTCAAGTCCATGGACCACATGGGCCCCAAATAGGATGGTCTGTCCCTGTACAGTGTCAAAACTCAAGGCCCTGGCCATGACTGGTCATGATAATCTCTTCACCACTGCCACAGTGTCAGCTCACTTAAAAATGCTTTTACTGTTAAATTGTAAACTATTTCATATATGCAAAACAGTGTAAGTAACATAAACATACAGTTTGAAGAAAACTAATTAGATGAATACTCATATATGCCAACCACGTACCTTAAGAAATAGAATATTGCCAATGACTTAAAGGCTCCCATCTACCCCTCTCTGGTCACATCCTCCCCACTCCGACAAACCACCATCTTCTGTTTTGTATTAACCATTTCTTTGTTTTTCTGTATATGTTTATCTCATATGTATTTGTCCCTACATAAAAATTTGTGATTAGTTTTATCTATTTTTTGCCATTTACGTAAGTAAATCTTATAGTATATGTTCTTCTATGACTTTTTCCCCCTCAAAAATCACAGTTTTGAAATTTATTCATGTTAATCTAGATGACGTTTTTATTGCTGGTTCTACTTTTTTCTTATGAAATTGCCTTGCACATTCTTGTGCATGAGTTCCATGCAAATGAACTAGATTTTCTCTAGGGCATACACCTGGTACTTGGATTGCTGCCTTGCAGGTTATCATAGGTTACACTTTACTCAGTAAAGTTTCCAAAATGGATGTATCATCAATTAATACCCAATCTGCAATGTGGAAGGGTGGCCTGTGCTCCATATCCTTGTGAATGTCTGTATTGCTAGACTTTTAAATTTTCCTTAAGGTCTCAGGGTCTTCTTTCCAGGCTTCTGCTTCTTGCAAGCTGTTTCTGTCACACATGCCTAACCTCATTCTATTCCATGATTTCAACACAAAATCCACTCACACAAAAAACAGTTATGGCTTTAGGGGGAGAATCCTGAACATTGGAAGGGAATATTCTGTTGGAGTAGTGCCAACACATTCCACAAAAATGGTGGACATCCTCTGTCTTAAACATCTGTCCTTAGAGTGCCAGTAGGGGAGAGGGGCAGAGGGAGAAAGAATCTTAAGCAGGCTCCATGCTCAGCATGGAGCCCAATGCAGTGCTTGATCCCATGACCCTGGGATCATGATCTGAGCCGAAACCAAGAGTTGGATGCTCAGTTAACTGAGCTGCTCAGGCATCCAAAACATCTGTCTTTCTAGAACCTCAACAGATCAAGATTTCTGGTCTCATCTCATTTTGGCATCTTGTTCTCTTCTTCCAGGATCTCCTCTCTCATTTCTTTCCTCCCTTCTTCCCAGAATTCTAAAAATTTCCAGTTCAGTGCTTCTTATCTCTTAGTCCCGAATTTGTAAACTAAAACTATTGGGATGTTCAGATAGAAGGGCTTTTCGTTTACCAAAATAAACCCCCATCAGAATGCAATTTTGATTATAAACAGCAAACAGCATCATCCTCTGACTTACAACAGAATAAGTTATATTTAAGAGTTATTGTATCATGAAAATGGAAAGTGAAACTGATCTGAAAAATAATAATAGGTACCAATTTTTGATTACCTACTCTGGCATCTGTACTGTTTTAGGCAATTTGTATAGGTTTAATCCTCATAACATCTTTGGAAGGTAAGTAATATTTTACTATTGTATATATGTAGAAATTGAGGCTCAGAGGACTCCAGCTGACTTGCTCTAAATCGCCAAATTAGTAAGTAGTACAGCTTGGATCCAGCCTGTCAGACCTCACAGCCCTTTGTTTTTCTAGTATGTTTTACTCTCCCAGTATCTTGTATTTAACTGCTTTTTCAACTCTAAATTCTATACGGTGTATAATATGTATTGTAATTTAACCATTGGCCAGAAGGGAGAATGTGACATAGGCATATGTAGAAATTTTTTTTCTCCTATTCCTAGGAGGATGGGTTGATAATTCTTCATAATTATAAGAGGGATAATTGCATATATATTTTTGGATCAAATTTAGAATGTTACAGAGCAGAGAAAATAATGAGAGAATTTCTGACATAGTTGGAGGATAGACATGCTGGAAGTCTGCAGTTTCTGAAGAAGAGAAATAATTTAATAACAGCATAATCCTGACATTCATTTCCCTCAGCATGGCTTGGTTTTTGGATTGACATCTGAAATGCCTTTCCAGTCACTGAATTTGAAGGAGTTTGTCAGAGTTAGAGGGAAATTATAGAGATGTTTTGAGGATCCAGCCTGAGGGAAGTGAGATGGAAGCAATGAGTCAGTCCCTGAAGTGCTAACCTCATGTGGATATGCAGGTGGTAAGTGTCTTCCACAGGCAGATAGACCTGAGGCCACTGGGTGTTCAGCTACCTCTGAGTGGAAGATGACTTCTGACTTGTCGGAACATAAACATTAGTAAGTAAACACAGAACAGAATCAGTTAATTTCTCTTGTGATCTCTGTTTCAGTTTTGAGCATTGTAGTTTATCCAGGGCAAACCTGGTCTCTTGTTGACTAAGTCACTTTCTTTGATGCCATGCACTTTCTCTATCTCCTCATATTTTTCATCCCACGAGGAAGCCTTTGACACACAAGCACATTCCTGCTCCATGGTCGCTTTGGAAGGTGCCTCTCCTGTAGTTGTCTGGGAGGCTGCCGAAAGACTTTTTGTTCATTGTCAACTTGGAATGAGTCACAGATGGGAGTAAAAATTAGGGTGGAGAAAATGAATTACTTCTTGGATCCTCCTGTATTTAGTTTTGAATGCACTTCATTATATTTTGGGAAAAGAGATACTAGTGTATATCAAATAAGAATCACAAAATTATATTCTAATGTTATTTTAACTAATGATTAATGATCTGATCCTCTGCTTCCTCTGTTGGTCTGAATCTAGATATCTGAGATTTCTTTTTTTTTTTAGTTTTTAGTTTTATTTATTTATTTTGAGAGAGATAGAGAGATACAGATGGGGGAGGGGACAGAGAAAGGGAGAGAGAGAATCCCAGGCAGGTTCCCTGCTGTCAGCACAGAGTCCGATGTGGGGCTCCATCCCACAAACTGCGAGACCACGACTTGAGCTGAAACCAAGAGTTGGATGCTCAGCCGACTGAGCCACTGAGGCATCCCTGGATATCTGAGATTCCTAAATCTGCCTTTTAAACCAGGAATCATTTAAATGATGACCAAAAAATAGCTCACATACATTATATACTGTCCACTGTTTCAAGTGCTTAATGGATCTTCTTTTCTTTATAATAACCTAAAAAAAGTAGGCACTGCATCTCTATTTTACAGTTGAGGAAACTGAAAGAAACAATGCTGAATGATTTACCCACAATCATAGAGGTAATAGATAACAAACATGGATTCTGAACACAAGAGTGTCTCCAGAACCCTTGTAACACACTATATTTAAGTGGGGTTGGAATATATATGAGTTTGATATATACGGAATGAAACCGTAGAGAGAGAAAAATGGAAGCTGTGGGAGAGGGAATGAATAATGAATTTAATAAGTCCTTAGAAGAGGTGGGAAGGAATGCAATACAGAGAAGAGACAGAGAAGTTAGCTTTATTATTTTTGTTTGTTTGTTTGTTTTTGGAGGATAATTCAGTTTTTTTAAAAAAATATTATTTATTGTCAAGTTGGCTAACATACAGTGTATACAGTGTGCTCTTGGTTTTGGGGGTAGATTTCTGTGATTTATCACTTATATAGAACACCCAGTGCTCATCCCAACAAGTGCCCTCCTCAATGTCCATCACCCATTTCCCCCTCTCCTTTGCCCCTCTGCCATCAACCCTCAGTTTTTTCTCTGCATTTAAGAGTCTCTTATGGTTTGCTTCCCTCTCTGTTTGAAACTATTTTTTCCCCTTCCCTTCTCCCATGGTCTTCTGTTAAGTTTCCCAAGTTCCACATGTGAGTGAAAACATATGATATCTGTCTTTCTCTGACTGACTTATTTCACTTAGCATAATATCCTCCAGTTCCATCCATGTTGTTGCAAATGGCAGGATTTCATTCTTTCTCATTGGCAAGTAGTATTCCATTGTATATATAAACCACATCTTCTTTATCCATTCATCAGTTGATGAACATTTGGACTCTTTCCATAATTTGGCTAATGTTGAAAGTGCTGCTATAAACATTGGGGTAAATGTGCCCTATAAATCAGCACTCCTGTATCCTTTGGATAAATTCCTAGTAGTGCTATTGTTGGGTCATAGGGCAGTTCTATTTTTAATTTTTTGAAGAATCTCCAGACTGTTTTCCAGAGTGACTGCACCAGTTTGCATTCCCACTAACAGTGCAAGATGGTTCCTGTTTCTCCACATCCTTGCCAACATCTGTTGTTTCCTGAGTTGTTAATTTTAGCCGTTCTGACCAATGTGAGGTGATATCTCAGTGTGGTTTTGATTTGTATTTCCCTGATGATGAGTGATGTTGAGCATTTTTTCATGTGTCTGTTGCCATCTGGATGTCTTCTTTGGCAAAGTGTCCATTTGTGTCTTTTGCCCATTTCTTCACTGGGTTATTCATTTTCTGAGTGTTGAGTTTGAGAAGTTCTTTATAGACTTTGGATACTAACTCTTTATCTGATATGTCATTTGCAAATATCTTCTCCCATTCTGTTGGTTGCCTTTTAGTTTTGTTGATTGTTTCCTTTACAGTGTAGAAGCTTTTTAGCTTGATGAGGTCAAATAGTTCGTTTTTGCTTTTATTTCCCTTGCCTTAGAAGATGTGTTGAGCAACAAATTGCCACAGCTGAGGTCAAAGAGGTTGTTGTCTGGTTTCTTTTCTAGGGTTTTGATGGTTTCCTGTCTCACATTTAGGTCTTTCATCCATTTTGAGTTTATTTTTGTGCATGGTGTAAGAAAGTGGTCCAGTTTCATTCTTCTGCATGTTGCTGTCCCGTTCTCCCAGCACCGTTTACTAAAGAGACTGTTTTTTTTCCTATCGGATACTCTTTCCTGCTTTGTCAAAGATTAGTTAGCCATACATTTGTGGGTCCAATTCTGGATTCTCTGTTCTATTCCATTTGTTTATGTATCTGTTTTTGTGCCAATACCTTACTGTCTTGATGATTTCAGCTTTGTATTAGAGGCTAAAGTCTGGAATTGTGATTACTCCTGCTTTGGTTTCCTTTGTCAACATTACTTTGGCTATTTGGGGTCTTTTGTGGTTCCATACAAATTTTAGGACTGTTTATTCTAGCTTTGAGAAGAATGCTGGTGCAATTTCGATTGGGATTGCATGGAATGTGTAGATTTCTTTGGATAGTAGTGACATTTTAGCAATATTTGTTCTTCCAATCCATGAGCATGGAATGTTTTTCCATTTCTTTATATCTTCTTCAATTTCCTTCATAAGTTTTCTATAGCTTTCAGCATACAGATATTTAAACAACTTTGGCTAAGTTTATTCCTATTTTATGGTTCTTGTGCAATTGTAAATGGGATCAATCAGAGAAGTTAGCTTTAGATGGAGGAGGGACACCTGTGGAAGAAAGGAAGAGGAGAAATGTAAATATATTTGTCGATTTGTTAGCCAGAAATTTAGGAATCCTCTGTCTGGTAATGGGAATGTTTGTAAAGAAAGAGGTTAAGGTCATTTTCTGAAAGTGAGGAAAGTGGTTCTAAGATTGGGGGATTGAGGTAGGGGTTGAAATTTTGAAATAGGTACTGTAGAAAATGGGAAAGAAAGAGAACGGACTAAAGAAATATAGGGCTGCTGGACTGCATTGAGGGTTCCCCTGAGATCAGAAATCATGAATGGACTTACAGTGGTACCCATCTATAGCTGTGTGATTTTTCTATTGTAGTGCTAAGTAGCATGGCTGTGAGCATTGAACCAGGTTGGAATTCTGCCTGGCAAGCATGATGGCAGGGTCTATCTAGGCGAGGATGTTAAGTTCATTGATGAGAAACTGTTGAAGTCATGAACCATGAAGGCAATCTGAAAAAGAAAGAAGTGAAAAAAATGAAGGTGCTGATAGGGAGAGAGAAAGGAAACTAAGTTGAAGAACTTGGTAATTGCTCTGGTGATGATAGTATGAGAGTCAAAAGAGTATAGGTGGCAGACTGTAGGATGTTTGAGTTCGTGATTTTAGAGGAAGGATCAGTCTGAGAGAATTCAGGATTCAAAGTTAGATGGGAAAGAGAGTATCAATTCAGGGTCATTTAAGAAAATCACATCAGCTTGAAAAAGATGACTTGGCAGCCATATGTAGAGCAGACGAGAGTGAGGAGGTGCCGAACTAAATCATCTAAGAGGCTTATTTGCATGAATTGAGTATTTGAATTGTAGATCTGAAGAGGGAAAATAGGTTTTCTTTCTTTCTTTTTTTTTTTTTACATCAAAAGGAAGATAGATAACTTCTCTTTCTTAAGAGAGAGAGAGAAAAAAATTAAATTGTGTGCGTATCTAAACCCTAATAGGACCAAAACAGTATTTAGTGGCTGCAGAAATCTCTAATAGCATTCTTATTAACGTCTTCTTTGTAGTCAATAATAATACATATATTCTCCATCTCAGCTTTGAGCTAAACTTATGCAGTTGACTTTGAAATAGATCCATTTCATAATTTAATGAAAATAATGCCCTAATAAAAGATATGAATAAATCTATCTTTTCGTATCTTGTGGTGTGTTCTTAACATTCATGCATAATTTTGAACATGGGCAATGATAAAAGTAATATAATATTTTCTAGCATTTTCCTGATGAATTTCTTTCTAGTTTTTTTTTTTTTTTTTTTTTTTTTTTTTTTTGACTGGGGAATATACTTGCATTGATGTAATTAACGGGATTATTACATTTATAACAGTTTCTCATTTAACATGAGTATTTCTCTTCATAGGCATCATTTAAAATGACTGCATAATAGTCTGCCATTTTCTTTCCTTTTAGGTTTGTGTTTAAAGTATATCATACCCATCATTTTAATTTTCCCTGTGCTTTTTTATACTTCGATCTCAAACACAGATGTGTATGGATATATGCTAACAACGCAAATGCTCGTGGAAACACAGTTACTGATTTGACTATTTTATATGGAGCAGACACTGTGAGAGGGAGTCCTCGAGCGTGTCTTCTTTTATTCTCGCGGTGATTGGCATTTGCTAGCAAATTAATTGCCTATGACTTTTAAAAATTTCAAGATTTTCATGTCAAGATTCAGATTTATCTCCTATCTTGAAAGCAGATCACTTGTCAGTGCCAGAACCTGTAGTTACACATGGTCACTGTATGATGGATTCCTGCGTTGGTGCCCCTTTTCCACAGTGCGCGTGTTCACTTCATCACCCTGCCTTCCCCTGGATGCCTCCAACATTTATATTACTTGCCAGCCCCCTGGAGGCATTTTATTTTGACACTGGATCTAGGATAAAGTAAGGGATAAATAAATGATTATCTTCCTCATCAGTGCTGGAGCTGTCATGACTCTGTTAGCCACATGTGACTATCCTGTTGCCTGCTTCAAAATTCTTGCGGGATGGCCTTTTCTTCTACTATCTATCACAGAAAAAAAATCCAGTTTCAGCATTAATTAGAAAGTTATAGCTACCACTGGATCACATAGAACATTCCCAAAGTCCAAAAGATCTAAATGCTTCAGATCACCGATTTGCATTTCTGTTCCCTTTTATTAGATGAAAAATCAAGAGCCAAGTGCTTTTCAGTTCTCTGTTAGTATGGTTTTGTTAATTTTCTGACTTCTGGCCTAGATGTTGACATTAAACAAAATGGGAGATGTTTGTACACAAATGTATTCTGTGAATCACTTGGGATTACCATTACTGAGACCATGTCTCCTGCTTAACAAAGAATAATTATAGAATGGACTCTATTCCTTATATTTATATGGGCCTGGTCACAATGAGAGCCACAGTTGTTTTGTGTCAATGAAGAGCTTCCTTTTTTTGGAGAGGATTGTGTAAAGAAAGTATTCACGTTAAAGGATCCATGGCAAAAGATTTTGGGTTATACCCAAGGCCTTGATTTAGTCACAACAAAACTTTTCATTTTCTTTATAGGTGAAGATAAATAATGATTTTAATTATGAATTTTACAACAGTAGCTGGTCTTACGTAAAACATACTTCAGCAGAATATACATCATCTAGTAGGAAACGCTCCTTTTTTTTTAGATCTTCAGCATCTTCTTCGTATAGTCATATTTCACATAGCAATGAAATCCAAAAGCAAAAGGTTAGTATGAAACATGAGTTAACTTTTCCATATTTTACTGCTTAAGTATTTCTAACATTAACAAAAGTGTATTTACCAAAAGGATCAGCTTTCATTTTTAAATTAGGGTAGTAGTATCTTCTTCAAACAGACAATGTAATATATTTCCTTAAGAGGTAACATTGTATCGGGGCGCCTGGGTGGCGCAGTCGGTTAAGCGTCCGACTTCAGCCATGTCGCGATCTCGCGGTCCGTGAGTTCGAGCCCCGCGTCGGGCTCTGGGCTGGTGGCTCGGAGCCTGGAGCCTGTTTCCGATTCTGTGTCTCCCTCTCTCTCTGCCCCTCCCCCGTTCATGCTCTGTCTCTCTCTGTCCCAAAAATAAATAAAAACGTTGAAAAAAAAAATTAAAAAAAAAAGAGGTAACATTGTATCTTGTCAATTCTCTTGGATAATATATCTATTAATACTTTGTCTTCTTTCTTTCTTTCTTTCTTTCTTTCTTTCTTTCTTTCTTTCTTTCTTTCTTTCTTTCTTTCTTTCTTTCTTTCTTCTTTCTTTCCTCTATGACTAACCTTGGGCTGAAACTCACGACCTCAAGGTTAAGAGTTTCATGCTCCACTGACTGAGCCAGCCAGGCACCCCTATACTTTGTTTTTCTTATTAAAGTATTTGTTCTTATTTGAAAATCTTAAAAAAGCATTACTTTCAAATCTACTAGTTAAAATTTTCTTAAATTTCTAATTTATGATTACTATACATGATTATATGTGTTATAGAATTGAAAAAATCCTGTTAATATATGTTTTCTAAACAGTAATGCTAGAATCTTTCTTAGAAGGTGCATAAAACTAAAAGATTTTAAGACACTTTGTTACTTTTGAGATACCACATTAAAAAAATTTTATTTATTTATTTATTTTGAGAGAGAGAGAGAGAGAGAGAGAGAGAGAGAGAGAGAGAATATGCATGTGAGGGCACGGGGGTAAGAGGAGGGGCAGAGAGAGAGGATCCCAAGCAGGCTAAGTGCTGTCAGCACAAAATTGGATGTGGGGCTTGATCTCTCAAACTGTGAGATCATGACCTGAGCTGAAATCATGAGTTGGACGCTTAAGTGACTGGGCCACCTAGGTGCCCTGAGATACCAAAATTTTTATCTGAGGAAGTTAAAAATCTTATTTTTAGATAGTTTGTTGTTTTGAGATACTAAAATTTTTATCTTGGGCAATCTGAACAGTTGAGATGACTTGTACTAATTGATGTATACCTACTGCTGATGAATTTTCACGTTGACCATCATTCAAAATCTGCATACTTCATCTCATTCTTGAAGTCAGCAACTTGAATAATAAATCACAGGGAGGTATAAAGGAATATTGATTTTGTTTGTTTTGTGACTAAGAATCTGACTATGGGAATAAGAATTGTATAAACATTTATTGTATTTGTATTATTGTTCACAGAAATGAGGATTTGATATAAGGTAGATCTGTCTTGGACATCATTAAAAGATGCTTAGGAAGTGTTTCAAAGACCTCATATCCACTACTGGGTATTTACCCAAAGAATACAAACACTAATTCAAAAAGATAGATGCACACCTATGTTTACTGCAACATTATTTACAATAGCCAAATTATGGAAGCAACCCAAGTGTCCATTGATAGATGAATGGGTAAAGAAGGTATATTATATATATACAATGGAATATTACTCAGGCATAAGGAAGAATGAAATCTTGCCATTTGCAACAACATGGATGGATCAAGAGAGTATAATGTTTAGTGAAATAAGTCATTCAGAGAAAGACAAATACCATATTATTTTACTCACATGTGGAATTTAAGAAAACAAACAACAGGGGCGCCTGGGTGGCTCGGTCAGTTAAGCGTCCGACTTCAGCTCAGGTCATGATCTCATGGTCCGTGAGTTTGAGCCCCGCGTCAGGCTCCGCTCAGAGCCTGGAGCCTGTTTCAGATTCTGTGTATCCCTCTCTCTCTGCCCCTCCCCTGTTCATGCTCGGTCTCTCTCTGTCTCAAAAATAAATAATCGTTAAAAAAAAAAACTAAAAAAAAAAAAAAAGAAGAAAACAAACAACAACGAAAAGAGACAAACCAAAAAACCAGACTCTTAACTATAGAGAACAAACTGATGGTTATCAGAAGGGAGGCAGGTGGGGGGGGATGGGTGAAACAGGTGATGGGGATTAAGGAGTGCACTTGTGATGAGCACTAGGTGGCATATGGAATTGTTGAATCACTATATTGCACACCTGCAACTAATATAACATAGTATGTAAATTACACTAAAATTAAAAAAAAAGCCTCATTATAAAGTGAGGAACCATAGTATGAGATATAAATTATATGTTCACCTTACCTATAAGTCATTGTCAATGTATACTCCTTAGGGACACATTATTTTATATACCTATTTGTGAGCTTGTTTAGTAGGGAATGAAGATGATGCTTTTTTTCTAGTTGAGATTTTAAAGGCCAAATATGTAAGAAATTACGTATCACTCAGATATTCCTATTTGGCATCCCAAAAACTCTTTAGATTGCTTCAGGTGAGTGAGCCCAGAAAAGACCTCATCATGCATCAAAAATAAAAATTCATATAGTTTGGGTTGGAGGTGGCAGTTGATGGAGACATTGAACAGGAAAGTAATTTCACTGACTTTTTATCTTCAAACTAAAACTCCTTTTATTCTTCCTTCTTCCCATAGAGTCATCAATTGTTGGTTGTCCAGAACACTGTGGAAGTGGCTCAGTTTATCAATAACAATCCAGAATTTTTACAACTTGCTGAGCCCTTCTGGAAGGAACTCTCCTACCTTCCCTCTCTGTATGACTACGGTGCCTACCGAAGATTAATCGACCAGTATGGGACACATTATCTGCAGTCTGGGTCCTTAGGAGGAGAGTACAAAATTCTATTTTATGTGGACCCAGAAAAAATCAAAGAAAGCGGTAGAGTATTAAAAAAATTTATTAACTACAAACATTGCAGGAATTTTAATGGGGGAAATAACATGTAGTTAGCTTAAACTTTTAGAGATTTAAAGTATGACAAATAGAGATTAAATTGCAAAGGAATCCAAAGTGGTGTGAATCCATTATAATCTGCTCAAACTCTTCAAACTGCCTACTCTTTTGGCTAGTACCCTGAAATGTGAGATAACCATCATCATTACTGGCTGTCTCCAGGAGCTATTGATTGGATTTTTAGAATACTTTTTAATGTTTTCCATTTCTCAGCTTAAGTAATATTCTTTGAGGAAAAGCTAATAAGGTATTATATTTCAGAAATCAAAATGTTTTAAAGAAGTGTTTTATTTACCTCTGTTCGTTGCCACTCATTCCTTAAAAAAAAAAACCTGCTCTGGATGTCACAAGATTGCTTACTACCTAATTCTTATAATAATGGCTTGAATTTATTGGATGCCTTTCTTACAAGAGGCAAGTTACATGTTAGCAATGATCCTCACTGCTACCCAGAGAGATGGCCACTATAATTCCTGTCCCACAGACTGAGCCATGGAGAGTCAGTGTTAGATAAGACTCACCCAAGGGCATATGGGTTGTAAGGAGGTCTAACTTGCTCCCAAGTCAGCTGAACTTTTTCCTTATGCTGTGTTGTTGCTAGAATGGCCTGATTTTTGTTAGAATCAGTGCACACCACGGAGTTCATGATTTTTTGGACCCCATAGTAAGAGGACAGTCCTCACCATGTGTCCCGATGTGGGAGGGTAGAGGGTGGTGTCTTAGTGTCCATTCCTTCTCTCCAAAGACCTTTTGGCTGGTTTACTAATATTCTAAGTCAAACCTACTTCTTCCCAACTTTGTCCTTCAGCTGATGTCCACACTTCCTTCTCCATTCCAAATCACCTCTTAGGGGTCTTTCTCTTCAGTCAAGGCTCCCTTACAACCTTGGAGGAGAATAACACTTACTACATGAGATTCAGAGGAAATCTTGTAACCTTCCCTTGTGGGTGAATTACAATATTTTTCTATGTTTCCATTGGCTTCCCCCCCCCCCAATTGGGCTTAGTTTTTTTGTTACCAGTTAAGATTTAACTAGAATTTGAACTTTTCTAACTTCCCTGGTTGGAAATGATGTATAAGCACAAGTTTTTTTGTAGCAATGACAGGGACAATATTTCTTTGGAAAATTAATCCAGCAAGTGGCTTGATCTAAACTTAGTTTCACTGCCTCCCAACCTTTATTCCTTATCACTTAAGGAAATAGGGGAGAATTTTATTAAAGCTTCCAATTTGGTCAAAGCATATTTTTTAAGTAAAAATTTTACTCTTGAGAAGTTTCTGTCCTTCCTAAAAGTTCTAACTGAAATATAATCAAAACTCCTGAGATGTAATAGATCCCCCCAATTATTCCTTAAGAAATATTGAGATTATTACAATACAGTTAGCAAAATTATATAAGAAAAATGTATTTCCACACTTATTATTTTCTATCCTTCTTTAAAAAATGCATTGGCAAAACTCCATTTGATAATGAGTAGAAATTGTTACATTCTGAGGTTATGAGTTATGGGAAGGAATTGTTAGAAACTAGAGATAGTAAACATATTAAAATCAAGAGACTGAGGCAGTAGACCTGAGGTTTTAGGAATTAATTACTATAGAATCAGAACCCAGCTTTTGGGGTTTCCAGTAGGTGGACTGGGGCCATCACATGCCTACTTTTATCTGTTTGCTTCATACTTGAGAAGCTGACTGTATGTGGGTCAAAGATATCACTGTTCCGGGTGTTCCTTCCACTGTTTCATGTAGAAATCACCCCAGTCTCCTCTCTCTGATCCAAGATAATGGAAGCCAAAATTGCTGAATCATTTGAAAGTAAGTTTCAGACACACGATGCTTCATTCCTAAGTGTATGCATGTATGTGTTATTTTGTTTAATAACAAAAAACAAATATTCCTTTTTCTGACCCTTGATCCTCCTACAGCACTTGAAAATGTCCCTATCATATCACTGTTGATTAGATGGCCACAATAGTAGAGTATCCCTATCCTCCCACCTGGCTGCATCTCAAAAGACGTGTTTAACAAATGCAGAAATAAAACCTTTAAAACTTTTCCCTCAGGTCTTAGTTCAACAGATATAAAGACATGTACTTCATCAAGTTTCAAATTTTTGTATTCGTCATCAAAGGGCAAATGCAAGGAGCTGGAAGATGCCTTAAAATCAGATTCAGGTAAATAAGAAGGGGACAATTTGCATTACAAGCTTAATCTCCATCCCTCTCTCTTGTGGTTAATTCCTGGCCTCAAGGTCCTTTGAAATTTTAGCAGGTGTTCTATCTTGTGTTTTTAAAAATGTATTTGGTTATTTTTGCCTCTGCTCTCTCTTTCATATGTCATGACAGTGAGACACTGCCATGGAAAGTTCACTGGGTATCTCCTGTGCACTGTAGATGTGTCCTCAGCATATACTACCTTTTCCACCTGCAGTGACAGTTGGCAATCCAGCCTAGAAAAAGGACACCAACAGGAGAGATTTAGTTCCACTCTGACATGGATGCTCAGATGCTGCTGCTGGTGGTGGTGGTGGTCGTGGCGATGGCAGAGGGAGTGGGGAAGGTGGTGTTCTTTGAGTGATTAGAAAGGAACTGGAAAAAAAAAAACTGATTTAGATTGTGTCTAGATGCCCTGTTAAGGAATTTGGATTTCATTCTGGTAACAAGAGGGTACCATTAAAGGATTTAGTACAGGAAGTGATTAAATGAAAGGTTACAAAGATAAAGTTGTAGAGAAAGAAGAGGGACTGAGAAGGGATAATCTCACAGGTTAAGAATCAGCGAAGAGGTGCTTGGCTGCCTCAGTTTGGTAGAGCTTGCAACTCTTGATCTCAGGGTCGTGAGTTTGGGCAAAAAGCCTACTTTAAAAAAAAAAAAAAGAACCAGAAAAGATCAGTAACATTAAAAATAAAGGAGAAAGAGAAGTTAATAAAGAGAAATTCTAGACAGAAGTTAAGTAAGAGAAGGGCTGGAGACTGTTCATTGAATTTGGTGATTACAACTTAACTTGCCTTACAGTGAACTTCTTAGTGTGGTAGCAATGGACTGAGCAGGTACTAGAGCTTAAATTCTCGGTGACAGCATAAATTGGGGCAAAGGTGAAGACTGACCCAGATGCCAGAGTTCTTCCTGAGGAAGTGGGGATTCTTGGGATATTGGCAGATGACTGTAGGAAGGAGGAAGACAGAGGAATGAAACCAGGTGTATTTACTCATTCACTTCCTTCATTCATCAGCTGTTTATGGAGCCTGTGGTACATGCAAGGATTTGTTCTAGGCACTGGGGTACAAGCAGTGGCATGCCGGAGAAAATGGCTGTCTTCATGGAGTTGGCATGACAGAGGAGGAGGACATGTTTTTGTTTTTGTTTTTTTTAATTTTTTTTAAGTGTATTTATTTGAGAGAGAGAGAGAGAGGGATACAGAGAGAGAATATTCATGAGCAGAGGAAGGGCAGAGAGAGAGGGAGAGAGAAAGAATCCCAATCCAACGCTGATGTGGGGCTCGAAATCACAAACTGGTAGGTCATGGCCTGAGCCGAAATCAAGAGTCAGACACCCAACCGACTGAGCCACCCATGTGTCCCAGCAGGACATGCTTTTGAAAGAGATGGAAATATGGTGATCTGGAAATAGAGATGAGTGGGAGCTTTGGGAAGATAGAGACATCAGTTATCAGCTGGGCTGGCTACTGGAAGCTGCTCACTGATTTTATTTGATGTTGTGTTTAACGCACACATAGCACACATAGCTAGGTATTATTCATATTCTCATTATACAGACAGGGACTCCGAGTGACAGAAAGATTGCCCACGATCACGTTTGGTAAGCGTCAGACATGAGATTCAAAGGCATGATGTGTGGCTTCACAGTCTGGGCTCCTGATTGTCGCACCATGCTGCTTGTCTGGGAGAAGAGGGCCAGAGGGAGCAGAGAGCTCCCTGAGGTATGGAGAGAGAGGCTACAGGCTTAAAAATAAAATTAAAATGGATTTCTCAGAATCTGTAATTCATAAACAGGTGTGCCAGGGCAGGCGGTGATTTCTCCAACTTTACTATACGCGGGGATTACCCGGGAAGTTGTTAAGATGCTGGTTCCAAGGCTCTCCTCCCAGCTCTTCTCTTAGCGGGTGTTGAAGCTCAGAAATGTGTAGTCACTCCGGGTAGCAGCGGAGGGACTGAACTTAGTTGTGATAAGCTGCCTTAAAAGAGTGACTATGTGCATATCAAAACCGGAGCTAACAATGACAATGAGGATGCACTCCAGCAATTTGTCAAAAACACCGGGCTTTAATAATTTCTTTTTTTTTAAGTTTCTTTTTTTTAAAGTTCATTTATTTATTTTGAGAGAGAAACAGAGAGAGCAAGGGAGGGACAGAGAAAGAGGGAAAGAGAGAGAATCCCAAGCAGGCTCTGCGCTGTCAGCACAGAGCCCGTCTCGGGGCTCCAACTCACAAACTGTGAGATCATGACCTGAGCCAGTCAGATGCTTAACAGACTGAGGTACCCAGGCACCCTAGGCTTTAATAATTTCTGATAAATGTACAGTTTTTGAATTTGCAAAATTTTACGAAATTTCAAATTTTCATTAAAAGAAATGAACTAAAGATCACCCCAAATCTGGTTTGCAAGTTAGGAATTTCCAGTCATGACCAGCATAAAAATCAATTACAAATGGAGACAAAAATATTTCTGAAATTATAAGGCACTTAAATGCAGAAAAGAATTTAATTGGTATTCACTGTTTAGAACACTTTTCATGTGTTAATGTATGCCTGCTAATTAATAGCTTTTTTTGCTTAGTTAATATTCCAGATGCAATGAACTCCCCCCATTTATTTTTATTTTTATTAAAACATTTTTTTTTAAATGTTTATTTTATTTTTGAGAGAGACAGACAGACAGAGAGTGTGAGAGGGGTGGGGTCAGAGAGGGAGACACAGAATCCAAAGCAATCTCCAGGCTCTGAGCTGTCAGCACAGAGCCCTATGTGGGGCTTGAAATCACAAACTGCGAGATCATGACCAGAGCCAAAGTTGGACGCTTAACCGACTGAGCCACCCAGGCGCCCCTAGTTGAACCATTTAGAAACACATTCCATGATGCTTCATCCCAAAATATATATTTATTTCCTAAGAAATAAGATAGTCTCCTGTATAACATAACGTTCTTATTATACTAAGAACATTAAGAATATGAACAATAATTCCCTAATATCATCTACTGTCAGGTAATGATTGTGTTTTTCTTTTCTTTTTCCTTTTAATAGATATTTTTGAGAGTCGTTTCAGATTTACAGCACAATCGAGCAAAAAGTACGAAGAGTTTCCATATACCCCTGTCAGAAACTAAGGCCTCCCCACTCTCAGCATCCTCCACCACGGGGGTGCATTTGTTCTAAGTGATGAATCTACGTTGACATATCATCATTGCCCAAAGTGCATAGTTTATGTTAGGGTTCCTTCTTGGTGTTATACATTCTATGGGCTTGGACAAATGTATAATGCCATGTGTCTACCATGATAGCGTGATGTAGAGCAATTTCACTGTTCTAACAATCCTCCGTGTTCCAACTATTTACTCTCCCACCCACCACTGCTGGCAATCACTAATGTTTTCATTGTGTCCATAGTTTGTCCTTTACCAGAATAGGATGGGTTGTGTTTTAGTACTTGAGAGACATTTCACTTTTTTATTCTTCTCTTTGTTTCCTTTGTGCATCCTGACCTATTTCATTTGATTTCTCCTCGTATAGGAACTCAAAGCAATGTTCTGCGAGGGAACCCATTTGTCAGGGGGGGCAGTTCGGGCTTCGTGTCTGGCCTCAGTTTCCTGGAGCTGGACAATCCTGCTGGAAACAAAGAGCGATATGCTTCGTGGGCGGAATCTGTGACTGGTCTTCCCCAAGTCATAAAACAAAAGGTACGTCCTGCTCTGTTGAAAGCACACAAAGCAGACATGTTTATTCGCATTGGGAAAATGAGATTAAATCAAGGTGGTTAAACAGAGACAGCTGTAATTACCATTTTTGTATCCCAATTATGTTTTGTATAGCAAAATGAGTGCATACATAATAATAAGAAACAGAAGATTCATTATCTTGCATGTCCATATTTCAATTGTAAAGGTTAAATGTCTTGTAAATCCCAAGGGAAATTAGTAACAAAATTTGCATTTTAAGCTTTTGACCTAAATTTGATTATGTTTTCCTTGGTCTCTAATTCAGAGGAATTATAGATTCTTGCAAGAGGAAGGCATTTAGGCTTGTCTACTGTCTCATCAGATCACCTCTGTTCCTCTGGCCATGGCATGTAGGCTCTTGGAGACATGTAAATTAAAATAGAACAAATCTGACGGGCAGAATTTTAGGATGTTTTATTGATACAGTCACTTCTGTCATAATGCTACGTATGTGTTCCTAAAATCAGACAGCTAGACAGAATTGCACAATGAAGACCCCCTGGCTTATGGGGAAAATGGATTAAGGACACAATACTCAAAAACTTGATCTATGACACTCATTAAAAAAAAAATAGGCATCAGTAAAAACAATAGTATAGCTTTGTATGTGTTAAATTGTTAAGAAACGCATATATATTAATGTAGCACAATTCTTAGAAAAAGACTTGAAGCTTGCTGGGCGCTGGGTGGGTTAGAGCCTTTGACTTATTGGGAAGTGGTGGGAGGAGAGCTGCCAGAGGACAGACGGTTTCTGCATCAGATGTGGATGGGTGTAGTATATTACACAGGCGGTGAACTGCATGGATGCTTGAAGTGTGTGTTTGTGTGTGTGTGTGTTTTGTGTATTCCTATGTTGGTTCAGTTGTGTCCACTTTTCTGGGTTCACCTGGTTTTTCTTACGGATGAAATTGTATGAAATTTGTGATATGCTCATGGTGCTCCCTAACACATCCATCCCAATGGAACAAATTTACCCTTTCAAAACAAGTGCTATGGCAGAACTGATTCTATGATCTATTCTCTGTCATGGGAGTCAAGAAATGTCTCAGGTGAACTTGACTTGGACACATTTTATAATCCGCCCCCCCCCCCAATTACAAAAGCTTCTTAAGCACCCTCCCAACACCATATCCACCCATTTGCCTCTAAGTAAGGGTAAAAGGAAGAGGCCAGTTTTCCTGGGAGGTCTTATCATAACGTGCCACCATCGATATTCACAATGACCTATTTTCAGTGCCAGTGCCCTGTTACAAATCTTAAAAAATTCTAAGTTGTTGATTAGGGAGGATCAGACATTCCTTCTCATTCTCAACTCTGCATTTCTCCACATAGGACTGTCACTATCATAGCTGTGCTAACTTATTATAGGTATACATCCACGCAATGCCATCCAGTCAGTTCTTTTATAATGCAGCGTGAGAGAGTTTGGGCAGAGACGGAGGGAGATGTGGCTGGGTCTGTAAGTTATCCTCCTACTCCAGTGGTATGCTGTAGCCTGCTCAAGATGGACCCTCATAACAGCCAAAGGTGCCTATCTCTTCCCGACTCCATGGTCACTGGCATCCCAGTGGCAACCTGAAATCGGCCATGGGAAGAGTAGTTATACTGCAGAAATTGGCAAATGCTACAAATCAGAGCATTTTTGTTCTTAGGAGAGCAGATTGTTAAAGCTTAGCCAGCACATCTAGGGGCTCCAAGCTGCTTTTCATCAGACATATTCAACACAGAGAAGTAATGTCTGTCTGTTTTAAATTTTGTCAGGAAGAAAGAGTCATGGTCTCTGCTAAGAGACATGTTAAGTCTCTTAGAGCTGGGTATTTAATCTTAAATTTAATTGCACTTGCTTCTTCACTGTAATTTAAGTGCATTTCCTTTTCTTCTGCCCTCTGCAAGGGTAGAAATGTACTTCCTTCAAAATAATCTTTCAATAACTAGAAAATGAATGTCCTGTTGGTTTTGAAAAATTTTATGCAAGATACAAAAAATATTCCTTCCCTGTTCACTCCTATTGTTCCCTTTGTCTTGCAAAGAAAGTGAATTGCTTTCTTCTTATTTGAAGAAGAAATAATTGGAATTAAGATGAGAGTGGCTTTTGATTTTTATTTTAATGGAGATTCAGCCTAAATGCCAGGAGAAAAATATTCTTGCCTAAAACCCCGATTTACTGACCATGATGTCTTTATCTGTATAGCTGACCCCTCTGTATGAGCTGGTAAAGGAAGTACCCTGTGCCTCTGTGAAAAGACTATACCTGAAGCGGGCTCTTGAGGAATATCTGGATGAATTTGACCCCTGCCATTGCCAACCTTGTCAAAATGGTGGCATTGCTACCGTCGAGGGGACCCAGTGTCAGTGCCATTGCAAACCATACACATTTGGCGTGGCTTGTGAGCAAGGAGTCCTCGTGGGAAATGAAGCAGGTCAGTGTGCTGAGTTTTTGCTAGTTATGCTGGCACTGTGAAAAAGGAATCACTCTTTTCCGCTGATCCCTGAGATCATGCTTCTTTGTGTATTAATTTAGTGTCTCCCTTCCTATTGCACTTCTGGGTTCTAGCAAGGGGGTTAAGGCCCTCTGCTGTCTCTGTTTTCCTGTCTTAATGAATAGACCCACCATGCCCTCCATTCCCTGTTCTCCATTAGAATAGATTAATGCCTAAAATACGTCTCTCTTTTATGCCATAGTCAGCTCATTGAGGTTTTGTCGTAACAGGTCTGTGCAGCTAGTGTGCACATGGCTTAACCTTTCCAATTGCAAGCTCTTTGAAATATCTCTATTTCTATTTTGTATTATGTTTTATCAATCAATTACTCACAAATACTTTCTGAACATTTGCTGAATGTGCTCAACTGAAGGCTTGGTGCTTTAGAGGCACGTCAGTTCACACAGAACTGTGTGAAGTTTGACTTTATGAGTAGACAAAGTGTGGGACAGTTTTGTATTTACTTATATGCCTCTCTCCTCTAGAAAACTCATTTCTTAAGGTCAGGGCTGTGATTCCTTTTTTTTATTCCCAGAGCCCAACAAGGCTTGATTCATAGAAGTCACTTAACAAATGTTTGATGAATGAATGAATACATGACTGAACTATGATTGCTTGTAGACAAGCATCAGGAAAGCCTCCTTGCCTCCAAATGTCTTCCCAAGTAGCCTGTCTGGTAAATTGAAATTCTACCACTTTGATTTCATTCCTTTGTGGCTTGGATTTCCTATTATTTGATAAAATGGAAGCTCCCCCTGCTGGTAAGGATTGGGGTAGTGATCATAATATATCAAGCTATTGTTACCCTGTTAATATACTCAGAGGACTACTTTATTAACTCAATTTCTAATTATGGAAGAAAGTATAAGGAAACTCATTGGAAGATATAATCACATTAGTTTAGTTTTGGTGTGTATGATACTCAGGGGTGGGTGCCGAGTGGAGGAGAGACGGATGTAGGCTACACGGTAGAAATAGGTAAGGAGCAGTAAACAAAACCATCTATCAATTGGAAGTAATGTTTCAGGAGCATGGTCTCTGAGATCTGTTTGTAACCAGGAAAGCCAAGTTCTTAGAATATAGTGCAAGTTCTCTCTTGCCTACCCCAAGGTATATGATGGGGGAAAATTCTAAAAACACCGCTGGTCATGAATCGGCCCTGAGTTGGAAGGTGGCCAGGCTGGGTTGAGGAAGTGCCTGCAGACTGAAGGATGTTGACAGGAGGTAAAAGCATTTCTCCTTCTTATGCATTTCCTCATTTTGTACAGTGCCAGCTCTGAGGTTGGCAGTCTGGAACCCAGTAGATTATGTTCTTCTCATGCCCAACCATGGCTTTTCCAATAAAAATGTTAACAGTAGGAACTGCTGTAATGAGAGGAGCCTGGACTCGGCCATAAGACCATGTTGCTGTCTGGACAGGACTCTTGGCAGCCATTGCAGCACCAGACATGACATTTAACCCCCTTGCCTTAGATCCCATACCTATCAAATGAGAATGGTAACAGACTTCCTGCCCACCCGGATGCATTCTTGTGAGAAGTAAATGAATGGCATGAGGTATGACAAAATGCTCTGAAACAGTTCTAAAATAATAAACAAATTTAAGATATAATTGCAAGAAGTTCGTTGATGCAGCCTTAATATCAACAAACCCAGTCAATGTGCAGAGACATTATGGTCATTGAAGAAGACCTCCTGAACAGAGTGAAGGTAGTATGTGCCCAGACTGTCCCCTCCCTCAATAACTGCCTGAGCATGAAGCTTAATACTAGACTCTGAAATCTTTCTCTCCAAGTACTTTCTGAACAGTCTTTCTCTTATCTTACAGGAGGGGTTGATGGAGGTTGGAGTTGCTGGTCCTCTTGGGGCCCCTGCGTTCAAGGGAAGAAATCAAGGAGCCGAGAATGCAATAACCCACCTCCCAGTGGAGGCAGGCAGTCTTGTATTGGAGAGCCAACAGAAAGCAGGCAATGCGAGGAGGAGGAACTCCAGCATTTGCGGTAATGGTGACCAGATCTCCTGGCAATTGCATAGAATAGAGTGCCCTCTGCAGGAAGTGTGGAATATGTGATTGCTGCTATTAAAAGATTTAAAAATTAAATGGCGATTTTTATCAGTGACTTTGCCTTTAGCAGTGGGGTCAGTTGAAGGAAGAAGGCATGTGTGGACAGCTTGCACTTGTGTGTTTCAAGTTTTTCTGATACAGATGTTACAAAAGGCTGGGTAACTAGAAGGTCATCTGGCCAAGGGGATCTGAGCAGCAGCTTTGGCATCAAGCAGATCTGCCACTTTGCTGTGTGACCTTGGTAACACCTCTAAAATTAGTATAATCATAGAAGGTAAAACAATAGTAAAATGTCAGAATTAAATGAGATTCAGCATAGAAAGTGATTAGCACAGTGCCCAGCACATAGTAAGCATTGATTAATAGTTGCATTACTCTTCAGATATACCAATCCTATTCATTCATTTATTCATGTATTCATTCATTCATTCATTCATTCATTCATTCATTCATTCATTCAGGATTAAGCATAAAGCCAGATGCTCTAGATGGCTAATATCTTGACTGATTAGCCCACCAACTTCCCATTTGCCGGGACCTTGCAAATTCATCAAGTCTCCTGACTAGGAAGCTGGTGAGCATATGGAATTACTGTAGGAGGAGAAGCTACCTTTGAGGCACATATCTCTGGGAGGATGAGGGTCTCCAGCAGAGGAGGCCTCTATGGACTGGGCTTCTTTTCCCAGCCACTAGACATGAAGCTGGAAGGAAAGGAACATCCTACGGAGGCACTGAAGGAATTCTCACTCTTCTTGGTGCTTGGAGGGAGAGAATGTTCTCCTCTTCCTGCCCAGTACAAAGAGGAAAATCATGATCAATACTTCACATTTCTGAGTTTCCTCAAAGTGTGGAAAGCGTATAAGGAACTCAGCTGAGAAGAAGGCAACATTCACGGGCTATTCTGTAATGCTTTCCCTCAGATTTCAGATCTCTAGAGTGGAGGTAATACTGGTGGCACGTTGGCTTCAGAGGCCATAAAACTATTGTTTAGTGATGGATGTCACTGGGATTACCATTATTATGAGCTTCCTCTAGAGATTGCCTTGCGGGAGGTAGAAAGAGCATGACATTAGGAGCCGAACCGACTACAACATGAATGCTGCCTTGGTATTTATTACCTTATAACCTTGGACAAGTCATTCAAACTTTATTTTCGTCACATACCTCATAGGGTTACTGTGAAGGTGCATTGAGATGTTGCGTATTTATAGAGCAACTGCCAAGGTGCCTATACAGAGTAGATGTTCCCTTTCTTGCAGGGTCACTAACAGGAATTCCTTTATTTTTAATCCAGAATCAATTTCATGTTAAAGGCACTTCAGAACCAGACAGCCGAAGAAAAAGTAGGTCTGAGGCAGGTGACCTCTAGAAATCCCATGAAGTAGGTGTTTTGTCCAGAGACTTTTATTTCCTTTTCTTTCTCTTTGTTTTTCTTACTACTGACTTAGTAGCTATTTTTTGGTAGTTTATGTTTGAGTTTTCTATCACAGGATATGATCAGATATTGATCCCGAGAATGACAAAAATAGCACATCAGCATGTTTACAGGAATGGAGTTCTTTCAGATGTTAATGAAAAATTCGCTGTGGTGCAAAATATTTATTATGCTGTGGAAATCCATCACATTAATTATGTTTTGTTTCCTTTTTCTTTCAGATTGCTTGAACCACATTGTTTTCCTTTGTCTTTGGTTCCAAAAGAATTCTGTCCATCACCTCCTGCCTTGAAAGATGGATTTGTTCAAGTTGGTTATGAAAGATATATTGTTTTCCTCTGCATATGCTCTTTGCTCCAAGTTCTCTCTCTCCCTAATGTCATAATCGATTTCCTTCTTCCATGATGAAATAGTGCTACAAATAGTTTATATGTGCATTTTAGTTTTAGTGGTAAGGGTTTTAGTTTGTGACTTTACTTCTTTGGCCAAGGTGATTAGAATTCTGCAGAAGGCAGTGTATCTTCTGCAGTAAGGTAAATCAATACTGCTGCCCGATGAAATTAGAAATGTAATCATGCCAGAAGGCTGTTAAACATTTCCATTCTTAACACTAAAATAAGAATCCATAAGCAAGTTCTGCAGCCAAGAGGACTTTCTCTATTCTTGCCACTGAGAAATGTCTTCCTAAAGATTTTTTTTAAATGTTTATTTATTTATTTTTGAGAGAGAGAGAGCAGGGGAGGGGTAGAGAGAGAAGGAGAGATTGAATCCCAAGCAGGCTCTGTGCTGTCAGACTCAGGGCTTGAACCCATGAACTGTGAGATCATGACCTGAGCTGAAATCAAGAGTCAGACACTTAATTGACTGAGCCACCCAGGCGTCCTGAGAAATGTCTTTAAAAATTTTTTTTTCAGAAATGTTGGGTTTGGGAAGAAATATTGGGTTTATTCCGGAAGCCGATAAGACATTTTGCCAGCATTGGTGAGATATGGGTCATTATACTTGGAGAGATTTTCTTGTTTAGGAAGGAACACAAATCACCTGCCACTTGTCATTCTAGGGAATTTTCTTGGCCTTGAGGCCATATTAATTTCTGCTCTTCTCACTGCTTGTTATGATGAGGCTTTGGCCTCAAGCGCCAATGAAGTCTCCTACTGGCTCACGTAGGAGGCTTTTGTCAGGACCCTCTCAGTGCCGCCAGCCTTGCTTTCTCAAAGGGTTTGCCTTTGAAATTCTAGGCCTTTAAACACACACACTGACATTTTGCTGAAGTTTCCCCAAATGTAGATACTGTTGGGAAATGGAAGAGGGCTTCTGTGTGTGTGTGTGTGTGTGTGTGTGTGTGTGTGTGTGTGTGGAGAGAGGGGAATGAGCCCAGCATCTCTAACACTCATTCTGTCCCAGTACAGTCACCACAATCTACTAAGTTCCTGAAGGAAACACAGGCTTGGCGAACAAGGCCAAACAAACTCATATACTTCAGCAAACCATGAACTGTTGTCCCAAACTCCAGTGCATGTGGTGTCCTGTAAGGGGCAGGGGTTCTGAACACTGCCCCATGGACGGGCTACATCACAGTCACCCAGAGAACTTAAGAATAGAGATTGCTGCTTGCCCCTTACCTTCCTTTTTTTTTTTTCTTTTCTTTCTCGTTCTGTAGGTTTAGGATAGAGCCTGAGAGTTGTGCTTTTTTTTTTTTTTCTTTTTTTTTTTTTTTTTAAATTGCTACTAGTGGTTCTGATACAGAACCAAGTTTGGACACTGTTATAACAGTCCCTTCTGTCAGGCAGACCGCCTATTGGCTAGAACCAAAGCAAATCAACTGTGCTTTCCCAATTTATTCAAACTCAAGTATTAACCTGGGCCCTTTGTTTCCTACCACCTGGAGCCAGACTGGACCAGGACTGACAGTGAATAGTAGAAGGCACCTTGGGATTTGGTTCTAATGCCTGGAGTAGCCAGGTGCTAATGCCTAGCTCTCAGCCCTTCCCCAGGCCGATTTTCTTTACCACCCCTGGGGTGGCAGAGAGCCCCAAGAGTGAGGAAAGGAACTAATAGAGATCCCAAAAGAGCATGATTACCCCTTTAAGTTTCAGCTTCAAATTCTTCCTTGCTTCACCATGAAAGCTCACCTCCTGGCATGTCCTTGAATCTGGCCCAGCCACAGTGGCCCTTCCCTTACAGGGTAGGGGCTGGAGCTTAGGATGGGAGAAGATCAGCATTACACTCCCTCTAAAAGTCATCAGTGAGAAACTTAAACTTTCATAAACATGCTGATAGGATTTGCACATTTCTGTCTGTTCCTACCAGCTTTTATTAGGCGGTATGGCTAATGAGCAGCCCATGATGTCTTACTATGAAGAACTGACTAACAAGTACATTTCCGAGATCTGGTAACAACTGTCTTTTCCTGGAACATGCAGGGGCCGGGGGGGGAAGGGACTTGGGCAGTGTCCACAAAAGTAATTTTGGTAAAATGCTTAGTACAGTGCTTGGTATTTGGGGACAATTAATAAATTATATGTGGCATTAATGGTTTTATTTTAGTTAATGGTAGTACCAGTGTTGTTGACTAGGACCATACAGGGAAAATTGTTTTTACAGATAATTTTTTAAATTTTTTTTTTTTTCCAACGTTTATTTATTTTTGGGACAGAGAGAGACAGAGCATGAACGGGGGAGGGGCAGAGAGAGAGGGAGACACAGAATCGGAAACAGACTCCAGGCTCTGAGCCATCCGCCCAGAGCCCGACGCGGGGCTGGAACTCACGGACCGCGAGATCGTGACCTGGATGAAGTCGGACGCTTAACCGACTGCGCCACCCAGGCGCCCCGATAATTTTTTAAATTAGTTATTTGAACTTAGTTTGCCTGATGACTAAAAGAAGGCATCATTTATAGCCCAAATATATCTAAAGAAACTTTTTTTAATGCAAAATAGACATACTCTCTCTCTCTCTTTTATTTCTCTTTAGGATGAAGGTGCAATGTTTCCTGTTGGGAAAAACATAGTATATACTTGCAATGAAGGTTACTCTCTAATTGGAGACCCTGTAGCCAGATGTGGAGAAGATTTACAGTGGCTTGTTGGGGAAATGCATTGTCAGAGTGAGTGGACTTGGTTGTAGCATATAACTTAAGATGAGAGAATAATGTGGAAGGGAATGAATCAAGATGAATAACCGCTCACTGTGTGGCCCGTGTCTTGACATTCCTTTCCTGAGAAGCTCATATGCTCCTGTTCAAGTTTCAGCTGTGTCTTGAAAAAGCCCTCAGCAGTCTCTAGTTGATAGTGCTTCTGTTAGGCGAGGCTCATTTCACTGCAATTTTAACATTTCTGGTGCAAATTCGAATAGGCCAGGGAGCTCCATTCTGGCTAAGACCTTCAGAACATCCCATATAGTTCAATTTCTAGGGATGTGACCAAATCAGTGTACTTCCTTGATTTTCCTGCAGTATTAGTTGGTTCAGCAGATGGATAGAGCTGTAGAGATACATTTTTTGCTATATCAGTTGGTCTAGGCCATGGAGAAAAGCCTAGTGTACACGTGAACATCTTTTTCCTCTTGGGTATATACCTCTGAATAAAGTCTCTGAGTCATACGATGTACATACATTTAGACTTAGTAGATGCTACCAGACTCCCAAATGGTTGTACTAATTTACATCCCTACCAGGATCTGAGAAGCCAAGATTGCTCTGTATCCTTATCAACACTTGTATCAACAATCTTTAAAAAATTTTAGCTATACTGATGAGTGTGTAGCAATATCTTATTTTTAAATTTTGACTTTTCAATTTATATTTTCCTGGTGACTATGTTATGATGCCTGTTTTCATGTTTATTTGCCATTTGCATATCCTCTTTGGTGAAGTGACTATCCAATCTTCAGCTCCCCTTTTCTGTTGGCTTGTCTTTTTCTTATTTGTAGGACCTCCTCTCTTCCTCTTTGTTTCTGTCTCTATCTGTCTCTCTGTCTCTCTCGCCTGGAGTCCTTGAGCAGAAATTACTGAAATAGAATATAAACATTTTCTAGCTTACAGTAACAAAGCCAAAAGTTGGTTCTTTGAAACGTTTAATAAGATGCTTTTGCTTGAAGAGATTTTTTTCCCTTTATTGTGAATCTGCTGATAAGAAGTTGACCCAATCTTTGTTCATCTTAAAATGTCTTTGTTTTATCTTCATTTTTGAAGGATGTTTTTATGGGTAAGGAATTCTAGGTTAGCAGTTATTTTATTTAAGCTCTTTAAAGATTTTATTCTAGTGAGACATTCACTCTTAGTCATACCACTTCTGGTTTGGAAATCTTATGTCTGGACACTTTTGGGAATTTCTCTTTTTTTCTGGTCTTTGGGTTTCAGAAGCACCTCCACAGTGATGTGCCGAGGTGTGATTTTCTTTGTCTCTACCCTGGTTAATATTTGAAGCACTTCTTGAATCTGTGCTTTTATGTCTTTTGTCAATTTCAGGAGCTTCTTCGCCATTGTGTCCTCAATTATTGCCTCTGTCCAATTCTTGCCCATTTTTCCTCACAAGACACAAATGATATATTTTTTTAGATTGTATATATTACTACATTATTTTGTTTTACATAATTTTTTTCTTCTCTCCGTTTCATCCTAAATATTTGTTAATTGATCTAACTTCCAGTTTATTAATTCTCTGTACACTTGTATATAATTTGCTTTTAAGAACTCTGTTGAGATCTTAATTTCATTTTCCAATTCTAGATATTTCATTTGTCCACTTTTCTTTTTTTTCCAACGTTTATTTATTTGTGGGACAGAGAGAGACGGAGCATGAACGGGGGAGGGGCAGAGAGAGAGGGAGACACAGAATCGGAAACAGGCTCCAGGCTCTGAGCCATCAGCCCAGAGCCCGACGCGGGGCTCGAACTCACGGACCGCGAGATCGTGACCTGGCTGAAGTCGGACGCTTAACCGACTGCGCCACCCAGGCGCCCCCATTTGTCCACTTTTCTATACTTTCCTTTTCTCCATTGAAATTCTGTGCCTTGTCATTTAATTTTTTCCCAACATGTAAATCACAGTTATTTCAGGGTCCATGGCTGTTAATCCCATTCTCTGGACCTACTGGGGGTCTGTTTCTATTGTCTTTTTTGGGGTTTTGGTGAATTCTTTTCCTTTTAAATGTCAGAATAGTTTTGATTAAATGCCAGACTTTATGTGTGAAAAAATAATGGAATAGTCTGAGGTTTTGGATGATGTTCTCTTCCTCTAGAAAAGACTTGATTTTGTTTCCTGCAAACAGTGAGGCTGTTTTATGTCCGGTTTACCTTTATTCCTAGGGTGTAACCATTAAGGGATCCTAGTGGAAGGTCTGAGATATCTTCCTAGGTCCCTCCTTTGTGACGGGACTGGACTCTACCTCTTTGTCCCCTAGCCCAATTAGACTGTTAAAAACTCTACTCAGCTTTTCAGCCACGAGCTATAGTTCCTCCTTAGTTTAGCAGCCTTTAAGCATTTTTTTTTCAAACTTAACAAATACCTCAAGGAGAAAGGCATTACCAAATGTTGTAATCACCCCTTTAGACTTCTCGCTAGAATCTTGTACCTTCAAATTTTCATGACCTTGGTATCTCTCTTATGCTTTCGGAAGTACTTTTTCCTTTACTTTTGTATAGCTTTTCTATTTGTCTTTGTGGGAGCATGATTGTGAAGCCAGTGATTGCGTCATGGCCAGAAACAAACAAATCTGATGCTAGATTATTAGGTTTATGAAGGCAGGATATGTAACTTGTATCTTGTTAAATCCCTAGCAGCATACAACGTACTTCGTTAAATATAGGCACTCCATAGATGCTGTTTTTGAATTAATGAGTGAATGGAATTTCTGATGGAAATGGTACAGAAACAGAGCAGTATTTTGTAGAATATTGTCCGAAGTCCATTAGAGAGATTGCCAATTTTTTTTTCAAATCATGAATTCTGACTTGCTTCCCATAAGTGTACATGTTTCTCTTTTTTCTCTTTGCTGTTTTCTCAAGCAGAAGATTTGAGGTAATGAATGTAACTGAGAAAGACTAGAGATGGAAAACCAAAGAACATTTAATACTTGTATGGTTTCAAGGTTAAAGGTGGTTCTTTAAAACTTTCAAATAATAAAAATATCTAATTGGATATATGCTAATGGTATGCAAACAATATGCAACTTTTCTTGGGAAAATTCTGGTAGGACTTCATCAGACCAGAGAGATAAGTGGCAGCGATGGAAAGTTTAGTTTTGACAGCAGCCTGGGCTTTTTAGGTCTCTGTTTATAAGGCTGATTCATTTTATGTTGTCACATTGCTTTGAGGGCAGGAGTGGAGGATGGGAACTGTTTTGGTCTTCAGTCTTTTATTGGTCAATTACATGCCGGGCACTGTGGGACATGTCTTTCCGGGCATCCTAGGAGTGAACTTACCTCTTCCTCTTTGTCCTCTAATGTGAAAAAGCAGAGCATGTGTATTAACACTATTCGAAGTTGTCTTTTTTAAAAAAAGATGGCTTAGGAAAGCAATGACCTTTGTATTCTGTTTTCTTCTATCTTTAGAAATTGCCTGTGTTCTACCTGCCTTGATGGATGGCATACAGAGTCATCCCCACAAACCTTTCTATGCAATTGGTGAGAAAGTGACCATTTCCTGTTCGGGTGACATGTCCTTAAAAGGTCCTTCAACATTTCTCTGTGGATCCAGCCTTAAGTGGAGTCCTGATATGAAGAATGTTCAGTGTGTGCAGAAAGGTGAGTAGCTTGTAGGTCTGTCCAAGGACACCTGCACTCAGGTGAGTGAGGGTCCCTGTGGCGGTCCTTTATGGCACTGGATGGCCATAACTGTGAGTTATTCCCTCTGTCCTTGTCCCCCTACAAGAAGGTCGGCTCATAGATGGGGTAACAGACTTTGTTTCACGTGGCATAGATAGATTCATGGAAAGCAAGGAAAAGCAAGAAGAGCCCTGTGGTTCTGAAACTAACTTAAATCCTTATCAAAGATTAGCTTTGTATCTGTTTTGGTGCCAAGAAAATAAAGGATTTTCAAAGGATGATTTCTGGCTTTTTTCCTGATTTTTTAAATGTACTTTTATTAAGTACCGAGTTTAAAAACATTCTGTATGTTTCCTTTCTGGGTTTTCAGAGGGTTTATTGGCATTATTGAAATAGAAAACTTAAAAGCATTTACATTTAACACTGCAGAGCAGAAGTTATTTAAAGCAAAGTGTTGTGGCTTGTGAAGCCGTTTTTAAGAGTGGAAATCCAAAAATCCAGTATTTTGAACATCAGGCAAATTAAAATGGTCTTTAAAGAAGCTATGGTAAGAAGAGATTTAAAAAGCCGAACTATTTCTTTTTAGAGATATTTAAGGTGGGATGGATTTATTTTTTAAATAACCTCCTATTTCTTCTTTACTTACATTTTTTTAAATAAATGGAAAATACATGTTTGTGACAATTAAAAAACAGGAAAGAAGGAAAACTCACTTGCATTCAATTTTGTATGGTATTCTTATTTTTCTAGTGTATGACTTTATTTTTTATTAGTTTTTTTAATGTTTATTTATTATTGAGAGAGAGAGCATGAGCATGGGAGGGGCAGAGAGGGGAAGACACAGAATCTGAAGCAGGCTCCAGGTTCTGAGCTGTTAGCACAGAGCCCGACGTGGGGCTTGAATTCACAAACCGTGAGATCATGACCAGAGCCGAAGTTGCACTCTTAACCGATTGAGCCACCCAGGAGCCCCTCCAGTGTATGACTTTTATTTAATTCAATGCTGAAGTTTTTGCCTTTTACACTGAGTATGAAGTACTAGATTTCATGAGTGATACCATCAGATGGATCAGATGGTCACAACTTAAGAGGGGGCAGGCTGCACAGAGCCGTCTGTGGCTGATGGCGGGCATGGGCTGTGGTATGAAACATAGATGCTGATGACAGAAAACAGGAGGGCAGCATGGCCAATGGTGTGCCTGCTGTGCTGGTTCCCACGTGCTCGTTAGCAGTCAGAGGTCCAGAGCAGGGACAAGTGCTTTGTTTTTTACTGCGCTGAAGCATAAATAGGAATTTATCAGGCATGTTTGAAGTAATGGACCTGTACCAGGAATTCTAAAATTAAAGAGAACAATGTACACTTGATGAGGTTGCTCTTTTATTCCGAATGAGATATTATATACTTATCTTTCTAAAATGTCTCCTTCATTCGTTTTGTAGCACAATTCAGTATGTATTTTCTCCTACACAGTAGCAAATTCTATTAAAGTTTTAATTAAGGGTATTTTTCAGGCCTGTGTGTTTTTCAGAAGTCATGATGAATATTAACAGTAACTACCCTTAAAATATGTCTATCACAAATAACAAACTCCAGGTTTGTCAGCCTCCGAGGTTGAGCTTTTTCAATACCTGATGTATCGGTATTTAGTCTTTTTTTTTTTTATTGTGGTAAAATAAACATAACATAAAATTTACCATTTCAGCTATTTTTAAATGTACAGTTCAATGCATTAAGTGCATTCCCATTATCGTGCAACCAACATCACCATCCATCTCCAGGACTTTCTCATCTTCACAACTGAAACCCTGTGCTCATTAAACACTAACCACTGATTTGTCCCTCCCTCCATCAGTATGTAGTTTTGACATAAAGATATAGGAAGTTAAGAAAGCTGTGTTCTTAAACGCAAAGGTCTTCGGTCTAGCTGATTCTACCCGTGATTTTTCATAAAGAAATTGTAATAACTTCTGGAAAACATTTAAAATCTAAACTGTCATTCTTATGAATGATTAACAAATAAACTTTTAAAAAATATCATTTCCAGTTTTATTGAGAAATAATTGACATACATCACTGTAGAAGTTCAAGGTATACAGCATGATGGTTTGATTTGCATCCACTGTGAAATGATGACCACGGTAGGTCTGCTTAACATCCGTCATCTCACAAAAGCACAATTAAAAAAAAAAAAAGAAGGGTGCCGGAATGGCTCAGTCAGTTAAGCGTCCCACTTTGCTTAAGTCATGATCTCATGGTTCATGAGTTCGAGCCCCATGTTAGGCTCTGTGCTGACAGCTCAGAGCCTGGAGCCTGCTTCAGAGTCTGTGTCTCCCTCTCTCTCTCTGCCCCTCCCCTGCTCATGCTCTGTCTCTCAAAAAGAAATAAACGTTAAAAAAAAAGAAAAAAAGCAAATTTCTCCTTGTGATGAGAACTCTTATGATCCACTCTTCCAACACTCTACCTGTATATCATTGAGCAGCATCAACCACATTACATTCCCAATACTCATCTCTCTTATAACTGAAATTTTGTACTCTTCGGCCACCTTCTTCCACTCCCCTCCCCTCATCTCTAGCAAATAAACGTCTAAGCACAATGAAGAGCTCATTTGCATGGCTTTATCATAGAACTTTAGTTTTGGTACATTTAGATTAGACTTTTCTTAACCCCAACACTATTGGAAGTTTGGGCCCGGTAGCTCTTTGTTGTGGGAGTCTGTCTTGTGCATTGTAAGATATTTAGACATTGCCAAATTGCCCCTGCTTGAGAAGCACTGATCTAGATAACACCACCTTAAAAAACATTTTATTTTGGAATAATTTTAGATTTCGGAAAAGTTGCAAATAGAGTTTCTATATGCCCTTTACCATGTTCTCATAATATTAACATCTTATATAACTTGACATAATTTAGTGGGTTGACTAAGACATTAATATTAGTGTAATACTATTGACTAAACTACAGACTTTATTTATATATCATCAGGTTTTCCACGAATATCTTTTTTTTTTAATGTTTATTTATTTTGAGAGAGATTGAAAGCACAAGTGAGGGAGGGGCAGAGAGAGAAAGAGGGAGAGACAGAGAATCCCAAGCACACTCAGTGCTGTCCGCACACAGTCCACTGTGGGACTTGAACCCACAAACTGTGAGATCATGACCTGAGATAAAACCAAGAGTCGGATGCTTAACCAACTGAGCCACTGAGGCACCCCTTCACTGATGTTGTTTTAATGGTCTAGGATCCAATTCAGGATACTACATTGCATTTAGGATACTACTATTATAAAGGGGAGTATTTAAAGAATGAGTGCTTATTATACACATTGCTGAACCTGGCAGGCTACAGTTCACATATTTACCATTTTTACAAGTTACGAATTGTCCCCGAGATTTTACTGTCTTATCTAAAGCTCTTAGGTTTTCCAAAGTGAGGAAGTATCACATAGTTTGTGCATCCGTAAAAATATGCTTTTCAGATAAGCTACCTTTATAAATATATCCAACAGAGAACTAGTTTTATGATGGGAAAGTATATATACCATTGAATTCCATTGTCATGAAGCAGGAAGGAGGTGGGAATAACAGGATGTTTTAGGTTAGTCACCTTGTAATCAGGTATAGCTGAGGAGACGACAGTTAAATTAAGCTCTTGTAAGCTGGCCTAAGGTGTTTTCCTATCAAAGTTGGAATGATGGTTCATTTTTGATCCATTTGTAGAAAACATAAAGGAATGGAAAAGGTATAATTAATGTAAGTACCTCTAGATATTTACTCACTGTTGAAAGGAGACCAATTAGACACTTACATATGAGAGGTTGTTAGCAGATCTTGGGGTACCAGGGAGTTCTCCATGTGGAGATCACGTTACGGTGCTTTCTGCCCCACTATAGACAGAGGGGGCAACATGCAGTCCAAACAACAAACAGTTTATAAGCACCGACTGCTTGATGAAAGGCTGCCTGCTCCACTGGCCTTGAATTCAGACAAACATGGACTTAAATCCTGGCTTGACCAATTTGTTAAATGTGTGAACTAGCACTAGTTTCTTAACTTTTCTGACCCTTAATTTCTTTAACTCTGAAGTGGGCATTTGTTAAGGGGGATTAAATATCACAACAGCCACTGTTCCCACAGTAGTAAATGCTCAAGATATGGTAGCATTGAAATTATTTGTAGGCTTCTCCTAGGAACACTGTTGTTTGTAAAATGCTTTACAGCTTTTTTTTTTTTTTTTACTGTACAAATTTGTAGCAGTTGAGAATATTACAGAACCTGGTTCAACAATTAAAATAATAGTTTGTTTACCACAAAGAAGCTCTTCTAATGATTGCATCTCCCTTATCCTTTTTTTTTTTTTTTTTTTTTTTTTTTTTTAGAAACCACTTTAACCCTGGCAGTGCCTGAATGTCAGCCCTGGGAGAAACTGAAGAATTCAAGATGTGTTTGTAAAATGCCTTATGAATGTGGGTAAGCTCTGTCTTTGCTCACCTCTCTCTGGTTTGTTTTACTCAAGATAAAAAATGTTTTGGTAGATGCTAGTGTCTCTGTTTGATCCAGGGTGTTGCTTACCAAGGGTTAAAGATTTTTGCTTGCATTTTAATCTGGCCCATCTGCTGTCTGTTATTTGCCTGGGTCTCTGGGGCTGACACCAGTGGTGTTAAGCAGTGTTCTACTCTGTCTAGAGAAAGGCTGAAGGACTTGGGCACTGCTAGTTTTCTACATAAGATGGGGCAACATGAAAACTTGAGGATTTAGAGCTTACAAAGATTAGGATTGAAATTCCCTTGAAAGATACACTTTTTAAAAAAAAGTTTATTTCTTTATTTTGAGAGAGACAGAGACAGCACGAGCAGGGGAGGGGCAGAGAGAGAGGCAGAGAGAGAATCCCAAGCAGGCTCCGTGCTGTCAGCACAGAGCCCAATGCAGGGCTGGAACTCATGAAACTGTGAGATCGTGACCTGAGCTGAAACCAAGAGTCCATGCTTAACCAACTGAGCCACCCAGCTGTCCAAAGATACACTCTTAATGCAGTACCAATAGAGATACTGGTTTCTGAAATGTCCGTGTCTCTAGATGTGCATTACGAGAATTCCACCCAACTTGAAATCACTCCACCATGGGTGGATATCTGAAGTAGGTACTAGATGTCTATGTTATGGTCCTAGTTGGACAGATTGTATGATTGCATTAAGACAAGAGGAGGTTTCCTAGGGGGACTGTTTACAGAAGTGTGGGCAGAGTGAAAGAAACTGGCAGGACTCCCACAGGGCAGTACTCCCAGACTGCAAACAACCAGGGTACAAATCCATGCCCCCAGGCCTGCAGAGTGACAAGAGGAGCTTTTTTTTTTTTTTTAAGATTTATTTATTTATTTATTTATTTATTTATTTATTTATTTATTTTGAGAGAGAGAGAGAGAGAGAGAGAGAGAGGGGCTGTGTGAGCAAGGGAGGGGCAGAGAGAGAGAGAGAGAGAATCCCAAGCACTGATACTGCAGAGCCCATTGTGGGGTTCAAACCCAAGGAACAGCAAGACCATGACCTGAGCTGAGATCAAGAGTCAGAGGCTCACAGGAAGAGGTGCTCCACAGGAAGAGCTTTTATGCAAAGCTGGAGACAGAGGAAGATTCTGTACAGATGGCAGCCAAGGAAGAGTGGAGTCCCTCATTTTAGGGACCTCAGAGACTGCCCTGGAGTGAGTCAGGGCAGTAAATATCCCTTAAATCTCCTGCCATTGCTCAAATTCACCTGAAGCTAGAGGACAAGGAAGTCTATGGATATAGCTCATAGTTTCAGCCTTCCTGGCAGCAGGGGGGGGGAAGAGTGGAGAACCAATCTGGAGACACAAATGGGAGATATCTAGGCTAAGACATTTATTGGTCATCTTTAAGGCTAAGAATCAAAACACAAATTTACTGACCAGTTACAGTTTGCCCTTGAACAACATGGGGGGTTAGGGGTGCTAATCCCCTCGCATAGTCAAAAATACACATATAACTTTTGACTTCTCCAAAACTTAACTACTGAGAACCTACTGTTGACTGTTACCAATAACATATGTTATGTTACCAATAACATAAATATTTTCTATGTTATATGTATTATTTACTGTATTATTATAATAAAGTAACTAGAGAGAAGAAAATGCTATTAAGAAATCATAAGGAAGAGAAAATACATTTATAGTACTATACTATATCCAAAAAACCCAGGGGCACCTGGGTGGCTCAGTAGGTTAAGCGTTCAATTCTTGGTTTCAGCTCAGGTCATGATCTCGCAGTTCATGGGATTGAGTTCTACTTCGAGAGCCTGCTGGGGATTCTCTCTCTCCCTCTCTCCCTGCTCCTCCCTTGCTCGGGTGCATGCACACTCTCTACATAAATAAATAAACATTAAAAAAAAATCCATGTATAAGTGGACCCACGCATGCAATTAAAACCAATGTTGCTCACGGATCAACTACACTTGGCTTTCAATTATTATTGTCATCAAAACACATATCCAACTCCTTGAACACTCACAGGGAGTAATGGTGATTCTGGTGGCATCTTATAAGATGTAACTTCTTGTGAGAAAAAAATACAGCTAAATAGTGTAAATGGCAGTGGTGGTCAGCCCAGAATATTCTGACTGTGGTGTTATTTTTTATTAATAATTGTTGACTTTGATTCACTTTCATCCTCTTTCCAACTTCTCTGATTCATTTAGTTTATCTGCAGCCTGCTGTTTAGAGACTTGGTGTGAGTTTTCTATCAGATACTGATAACCAGGTGGCTTTACAAGGTCTCTGCCCTTCAAGCTGTTCTGAGTAGTTCGATTTAAGGTTTAAATAAACAGATAAAAGAAAGATATAAGGATTTGTTTTTGTGATGTAAACAACTCCAAGTAAATTTAGCTCTTGGCCATTGAAGAAAGTATGGGAGCTAAACATATATAAAAATAAATATAGACTCCGTCTACTATACAAAAATACTTTGTTGTCTAAGGTTTCACTACAGTAATGCTTTTCTTATCCATCAACATTCAGAAATGTCCTTGTTTTTATTAGTGACATTTCTACAAAGCTGAATCTCACCATTTGAGTACCAATGCTTAAGGAAAAAAAGTAATAATTTTTCTAGAACTATTTCTAAACTATTTTGTAAACATAGATACTTTAAAAAATCCTATTGAAAAATACAGTTTCATCTTCCCTTGAAGCATCGGTCATGAAGTGTTGCACAATGCCGTGTTATGGACAGGAACTCTCCAGGCTACCGGACTGGGAGGAGCTAACTTCTGCCTTCAATGGTCCCACAGGACTGCCATCTCTGAATGTGTGATCTTTGCTGATTTTCTGTCTCCTTCCTGCTTGTCAACCCACCCGTGTCCCCAGCAGACCTTGCCTTCTCTTCTAAGTTGCTGTATCTGATCTGCTGTAGATGAAACAAGATCAACACTAGATATCTCAGCTTGTAAAAATTGGGAGCAAATACAGAGCAAAATTTGTTCATCTCGAAGATCTGAGGAGGGTGAGCCCCAGCGATGAAGGAGATTTGAGTGTTTGCTCCATCTTGTTCCTGTGGGTGGTGACATCTGAGGCACTGAGCTCCCAGCCTCGCCTTTCACTTCACATCCTCCACTTGTAAGAAGGAAAGTCTTCTAAATAATGTAATTTAAAAAATTTGTTTCAGATCCTCCTTGGATGTATGTGCGCAAGATGAGAGAAGCAAAAGGATACTGCCTCTGACAGTTTGCAAGCTGCACGTTCTCCACTGTCAGGGTAGAAATTACACTCTTGCTGATAGGGAGAGCTGCACTCTGCCTGTCGCGGCCCAGAAAGCCTGTGGTGCCTGTCCGCTCTGGGGAAAATGCGATGGTAAGGGGCATTGTGTATTTGTAACTGTAACAGTGCTAAGGTAGTAGTACTGAGGTCTTTTATTTTATTTTATTTTTAAATGTTTATTTATTTTTGAGAGAGACAGAGACAGACTGTGAGCGGGTTAGGGGCAGAGAGAGAGGGAGACAAAGAATCCAAAGCAGGCTCCAGGCTCCGAGCTGTCAGCACAGAGCCCAATGCGGGGCTCGAACTCAACGAGCTGTGAGATCATGACCTGAGCTGAAGTCGGAGGCTCAATCGACTGAGCCACCCAGGCGCCCCAGTACTGAGGCCTTTTAAATGGTAGTTTCTAGTTTAGCAGCAGATCCAAGCAGATCCCTGAGGACATGAAAGTCTCAGGCTGGTTTGAGAGTGAACTGTTCTTATCCACAGTCCTCCTTGGGGAATGGGGTAGGTCAAGTATCTAAGAAGACAAGGAGACATTCTTGATGGTTTGAATGTCCTCCCAAACTCTGGCGATTCTCATTCCACCTTCATGATTTTTGCTCTGTCCTCCTATTATCCATATAATGAACTCATTAAAAAAAAAATAGACTCACAGGGGTGCCTGGGTGGCTCAGTCAGTTAAGAGTCTGACTTCAGCTCAGGTCATGATCTCACAGTTTGTGAGTTCGAGCCCCACATCGGGCTCTCTGCAGACAGCTCAGAACCTGGATCCTGCTTCAGATTCTGTGTCTCCCTCTCTCTCTGCCCCTCCCCACCCCTCTCAAAAATAAGTTAACATTAAAAACATTTTAAAAAATGGACTCACATAAAAATAACTTTTTTAAAAAAGGAAATTTTATCATTTCTTAAAAAGAAGCATCACTTGCCATAAATATTAGATGACCACAAAAATACATATGAAACAAAATAAGGTTGTAGATTCTAGCCAGATGCTGCTGGCAGCTTGAGGGATGCTGCTTCTTTGGGATAAAGGGAGTTCAGCAAGTGTTAGGGGGTGTTAAAAGCATATCAGTGCCAAGGTGACACTTTCTCCTAGAAGTAATAAAAAGAATTTGAAGAGAATAAAAAAAGGAGTTACTCTTTCAAGTTGTGGTTCAAGATTGGCCGGTCAACTGTGTCCATATAGCACTTACAGTGATCTTGAACAACACCCCTGGCATGGCCTACCTCCCACAGTTTCAGGTATATTATCAAGGGGGAAAGCCTGGCTGGCTGCAGCCAAGTCACTGCCTCAGTTTCCCCATCTGTAAATTTGGGAGCCGGACTATGTGATCTGTGAGATCTCTGCCAGCAACTCAGGTCCTCCCCATGGCCTGTGCCAGCCGGGCCCCTGCTCTCTCGCTCCTGGACTGTTGGCCACCCAGGCGATGACATACTGAACTCTAAACCATTGGGTTGGGTTAGGATCGCCGGTCACCAGTGAGCTTGTCATTCCTTTTGGAGACACCTGGCTGGTGCATTCCAGCCTGACACCTAAGCGCACACTGTGAATTCTCCCCCAACTCATTTCTGGCTTTTT